AGAACATTTAATACTTAAATATTAAAAATCAGATGATGATGAAGAATTGGTATTTACAGTTAATACTCATAATATTGTATATATGATTAGTAGAGATAGTAGTTGTTATCCTGTTAGAATTGAATGTGCAAAATATTTTGGTGGAGTAGATCATTTAGTTGTACTTAGAGGAGATCAATTAAAACATACTCAATATTATATTACTTTGACAGCAAGAGAAGCTACAATCTTTTAATTTATGGCTAAAGTTACTAAATAAGCAGATATCAATATTTAAGTATTAAAAGAAGATGAAACATATAGAGGAGTATTATAATTAATAGATGGTTAATAAAAAATTCATTATTTTAGAGTCATTATTAATTTTAATTAAGTGGATTAAAATGTTGAAGTAATTGATGAATAATAACCAACTATTGAATTTGCTATTCATTCTTCAAGAATGTAAGTAGCTTTAACTTTAAATCAAGGTAATCAATTACCATCTCTTAAATCGTATGATTTAATTACTTTTAATAATTATTTATCAATATAACCATAAGATTAATTTTATTAGAATTCTGGTAATTATACTATTGGAATTCAGAATATGTTTGAAACATTTTTAAATAAAGAAATTATGTATACTTTCACTTATTCAACAAGTAGAACTGTTAAAACACTTCATGTAGGTTAATAATTTGTAGATTTAGTTAAAGGATTCAAATCTAAATATTTTAGTTTCTATTATAGTTAAAATACTACTTTATTTTATATTAGTATATAAAGTAAAAACAATAATAAATTAACATTAACTGTCTAAAATGATATTAAACCTGATAATCATTCTTAATTTGCAAAAAGTTAAGATTCAAGTACACTTAAATTATCATAATCTGCCTTAAATAGTTTATGTTTAAATGGTCTTACATAAGAAGACAAAGAAGATGATATAGATGTAATGGCTATTTGTTAAGCTTATATCATTATTGAAAATCATGGAAATGAAGATATATTATTTAATATCAATATTTGGAATCCATAAACTGCTTTAGAACTTAAAGATGGATAAGAATATACTTTTAATTTAGAATATCTACTTTAACAAACTTTTTTATATTATAAAGTAATCTCAACATAAACTGATGTTTAATTACATATTAATTCACATTATGGATACACTAAATATTAAATTTAAATTCTAAATTCTCAAAATTAAGAATCTAATTCTCTTTATGCTAAAGAAGAATACAAAACTTAACATTCCAAAAGTATACATTCTGATGCATTTGAATTTTGTAAACCTGATTGTGTATTGAAAATATTATTAGAAGCATAAGAATTAATATACTAAAGTGATAGAATAATTAATTTTGATGATACTGTGTATGTCACAGTTACATAATAATATATGGATCTTAAAAGTGGATTACCTATTTAAATATCAGTAAATAAGTTATAGCCAAGAAAATTCATATTTTCAGAAATCAATGATATATCTCCTTAATCAAGATTCAAATTAATCTTACATGAAATTTATGGAAAAGGATCAATTTGTCTATTCTTTAATGATGAAGATAATATTAATATAAATAAATGTGAATATGAGGTATTAGGTAATGTTTTAGAATTGACATAAGCACAAATACAAGAAAAATTGACTGAATTAAATCTTACTAGAAATCCTTATATTATAATATAAATATATTCTATAGTTGATAATAGTAAGTTTTAATTATCATTAGAAATATCTAATGATAGGAATAATCATAAATTAATGATGGGAATACCAACAAGAATCAAATTAGATATTCAAGAAGAAGTTTAATATTAATATTTTAATATCTAAAAAGATGATGATTTATACTTTAAATTTATTAAAGTTTAAGGCACTTCATTGATTTAAATATCTAGATGTTTAGATAATATATAAAAAGATTGTGAAGAAGAAACAATTATTAATGAATAATTACTTGCAGGATAAACTTACAATTAACACATAATTCATAAAAATGATAATAAAAAATATTGTGAATTATGTACATATATAATTAAAATAAAAACTATAGGAATTAATGTAGATTTATTAATTATTGTAACTTCTTAATTAAATTTTGTTTAATTACCTTAAAATATTGCATTCACAGATTACCTTGAAAATCAAAATGATTACAATATCTATCATTTTTCTTATAACACAGATCATTAAATTGAGATTTAAATTAATCAGTATAATGGTGATACATAAATGTGGATTGGATATAATGCTGTACTTGATACTTCTCTTTATTAATATGGGCCATATAACAATATAAAATAATAAAAATTAATGAATACTACTTCATCAATATCTTATTATTAAGCTATTATTCCTCCAAGAGAACATTTAGAATAAACTAATTATACTCCTTATGCAAATGGATCTCATACTTTAGCAGGTCATTATAATGATGATGATCTCTATATAATTGTAAAGAATAATTAATAAAAGCCATCAAATTATTCTATACTTGTAACCTAATCAACAACTGGTAATGGATAACTATTATAAGATGGAATCATAACATTTGCTTATTTAAGTAGATAAACCCCTGTTATTACATTATATCATTAATATCGTTATTTAAAATAACCATAATTAGTAATTAAAATGGCTCATTATAGTAAATAGTTGTAAGTTTCAGATTTCTTCAGAATAGAAGTATCTAATGAAACTGAACCAGTCAATTACACACTACTTACACCTTTTTCAAGTAGAAATGATTAACAGACTTACATTTTACCAATTTTGGAAGGACTTTTAACTATAAAGATTCACAGTCTTCTAGAAATCAAAGGAAATGAGAATATTAATATTGAATATTAATTTAATCGTGAAGGTGATATTGTTCCTATAAGAAAGTAGAAGATAAAGGATAATTATAATTATGGAAACAATTATTTAAATAGAATTGATTTATAAATTAGTATTGTAGGCAAAGAAATCTTGATGATAGATGAAAAATCAAGTCTAAGTGATTAAATCTATGATTCTTAAGCTAAGTATTATGAATCTTATATACCTTATGAAGGCAAATTAGCAGTTTAAGTATATAATTGTTTAGGTGAATTGAAGGTATCAATAACTCAAAATTATGATGAATTTATTGAAGGAATATATAATGGTAGTAAGATAACTGTAGAAGGCTAATTAACAGATATTATAGTGCCAGTTAAACCAGGACCTATTTATTTTTAATTCTAATCTATTGAAAGTGTATATAAATTCACAACATAGGTGTACAAAGCATAAGATTTTGCACCATTTGGATAATTAGTTATGGGAGGTGATGGATAAATAAATTATTCATTTGATACTTATGATTCAGATTATATTAGTGTTAAATTCAAACCATTAAAATGTGTTGGTTGTGATCTTCATCAAGAAATGAATAGTTTAGTAAAGTATTCTATTAGTTGGGGTAGTACTATTTAATATGCTCATGTGATAGGTCTTTGTTAATATAATTAATATGCAAATTATCATAAAAATCATACAGATAATTTTGAATAAGTAGATATTGGTCTTTTTGCACTAAATCATACTGATTAAATAACATTTAATATTATTGTTGGTAATTAATCTATACATTCTTAATTATTTATTGCTATACGTGCTTAAGTTTTAGTATTTAATAATCTCACAATATAAGATTATGAATTATATTATCATGTTGTTTAGATAGCAATGCCTAATCTTTCTCTATATTGGTATAAACATAGGTTCAATGAATTTGTTATAGGAGTTGTAATTGTTGTAACAATTATTTTATCATTGTAATAATTTAATTAAATATTAGATCATGTGTTTTATGTAAAATATATAGAAAAATAAGATAATTAAAGAAGGAGAATCTTAATCTGTAATTAGAAAAGAAAATGGAAGAAGCAAAGGAGAAAGGATAGAATTAAACTAAATATGAAACATTATAAGATGAAAGTAATGATTAATCAAATGTATGAAAGAGTGTATTAAAAATAAATATTGTTATTTTTATATAATTGTATTATAATAGTATATCAATTAAATATTAAAATGGTTGATTTAATCAATCAAATTTATTTCAAAAGTTAAATTATTAATCACAATTAAACTGTATATACTATTACCTCAAAATATCCAAAAAAATTAAGGTAAATATTACAGAATCAAGAAATCATTGTAAATCTTGATGTTATTGATAGTTAGAACCTAATTTGAAGAGTCTTTCAATAGATATAATATTGATAATCAATAGAAAAGACTTTCACATTTCTGTTGAAGATCTGAAAAATACGAAAGTATAGAAATCATCTTAACTTTATTCTGTATTTTTGGGTATCATAAACATAAAATCAGTGATATTTATCAAGAGTAGGCATTGGAAAGATAAGAGAACATATATTATACAAATTATTTAATCACATAACACATTAACTATTTTACTATAAAGAAGATTGAATAAGTTTAGATCTGAATTTTGGCTAGAATAATTTATGTTATTCTTTACTACCCTTAGCCTAGTCAAACTAATAGTATTCATATTATGTTACCAAATTTAAGTTAAATGATTGAAAAAAAAAGTTTGCTGGTTTGGCTATTGATTAATTGATTTAGGAGGTTCAAAATCTTAAATAAGATTAGGTAATCAATCTACTATGATTCTTAGTGACAAATTTATAAATTAAACATTATTTTCATTAAAAAACTTAAATCTTTAATTGATTTATGTAAATATTTCAGATGTTATGAATTAGGATTATAAATTATAATTTCAAATAATTGTTATAAAATATTATAGTAAAGGAGAAAAGATAATTAATTTTTAAATTTATTTGGGAAAAAATGATGAAGCTTTGAAGCTTTGAAGCTATGTTTTAATTTCTAAAAATTTTAGATTAATTTAATGAGATAGAAATTCTTAATTTTAAATAAATAATTATTTTTTATTTCTTTTAAGAAGAACAAATTAATCTAAATATAGTTTGAATAATTGAATTTCACAAATTCATAATTATAATTATGCTTTAAAGGCATTTCAATTTTATAGGAATTTCAAAGTTTAATAGGAACCCATTTAAAATGCTTTGAATATTATTATAGGAGACTCCAGAAAGGAAATTATAGATTGAATTAGCTAAAATAGATTTGGAATAACAAAAGATTTAATTAGCAATTGAATTGTAAGAGTAATTATTTAAATAGATATGATAAAGCTATAAAGTTTGGAATAAAGGTATATAAATATTAGAATGATCTAGTGTTATCACTATCGAAATCAACTTTAACTTAAATAAAATAATGAAATTTAGTTATATTATATATAATATCTATATAATTAATATTTTAGTTATAAATGAATCAGAATCGTGAAACAACCCGAAATTAATCATATAGACAAAAAAAGTAATATTATGAGAGTATTATAACATAGAAATGATACACGTTCTCATGCACCTACCTTTGAAAATTTACAGGCCAGAATAAGAGATTTGTCTTATAATAGACTATATAATGCAGTATCAAATTAAAAAAGAAGTGAATCTACACATTGCCAAATATAACATTAAGACTTGTAGTAGATGTATCATACTCTTTTATTAAAGAATTAAACATATACTAGACAATGGAGTGAAAAGTTATAGTAGTGGATTCAAATTAAATGAATTCCCTTATTCTCCTACTTTACAATCACCAAATCAATTAATTTAATCAACTAAATAATTTGAATTTAGCAATGAAAAACAGTCACATAAAAAGCATGCAGACCCATTCAAATTTGAGACATTTGGATTACATTCAGATAAACCTAAGAAAAGGGATGATCACATTAATTAAGATGATTTATATCCAATTGAATTTGCTAAAATAAAAAAATAATTGGAACCAATTTCAAATATTAGTAGAAATTAATTACCAGATTTAGTCAGAATAGCTCAATAAACATCAAATGATCACAACAAAACAAATATAATTAAGTAATAAATAGTTTAAAATGATGATTTAAGAAATTAAAATTTAATGGATTAGAAAGATTTATAATATAAAGAGTTTGATTCAAAATATTTGGAATTACAATAAAAATTAAAAAAATCAAATGATTAATGTAATGAATTGAAGATTGAAAATAAAAATCTTAATAATTAATTAAAAGATCTATAAAACAGATTATAGAATTTTAAAGAATAACAAAAAGAGTAGGATCAACAATTTTGTTATATATAAAAATAAATTGAAGAATATAATGATATCAATATTTAATTGAGAAATTAAAATGATGAATTATTATAAGAAATACAATAATTAAAACATTTTATTACTACTCAAAAACACAATACTTAATTAAATGAGTTAAATCTTTAAAATAAAATTAAAAATCTAGAAATTGAAAAATACAAATTTAAAGATGATTATTAAAAAGTCTAAATTTTAATAACTAAAGAAAGAGAGGAATTATCAATAAAGGATGAAAAACTTTATGAATTATAAAAATAAATAGATTCCTTAAAAGATTAACTATAACAACAATCAATATAATCAAATTAATATTAATCAAAAATCAAAAATTTAACAAATTAAATCAATTAGTTAACTTAAGAAAAGCAAGATTAATTTGATAATTTCTTATAAATTAAATAAACTCTATTGAATTAAATTGATTAATAATTTTAAGATCATCAATCATAATTAGCCTAATTAGATGTTCTTAAATAATAAGATTTATTAAAGTAAGAAAATCAATAATTAAAAAACATAAATATAATGATTTAAGAAGATTCTAATAAATTAAAAGAGGCCATGTAAATATAAAAAGAAAATTTAACTTCCTAAATAGTTCAATTATTATAATAATCTGAAGAAAATCAAAATAGAATTTTAGAATTAGAAAACTATATTTAAAAGTAATCATTATCTGAATAAGAATCAAAATAATCAAATTTAGAAAATTAATAGAATTAGTATCAATCTATAATAGATTAATTAAATCAATAAAAATCTTTGATCTAAATTGAATTAGAAAGTAAAAATTAATTAAATGCTTAATTGCAAAAAGATTTATAACAAAATTAAATACAATATAAAAATTTAGAAGAATAAAACTAAATTCTAACTATAAAATTATAGTAATAGAAAACAGAAAATGATTCTCTTGACAAATAAGTAATTTTATAAGATTTTTAAATAAATTAATAAAAATAAGAGTTTGAATAAATTCAAGATGATCTATATATTTAAATAGATTAAGAAAAATAGATATTGAATAATTAAATTAATCAATATGAAAATTAAATATCTGATTTATAGAATGAAATTGAAAAATTATTTTAATAACTAAATAATTAAAAAGAATTAATAGATAATTTAAATGGTTAAATCAAATAAAAGAATAATATTATAAAATCATTAACTGATGATATAGATGATAATTAATAAATTATCAATGAATTGAATGATTAATTAAATGATTATTATAATTAAAAAGAATAATTAAATGCAAAAATAGAAATGGAAATTTAAGATAAATAAAAAATAATAAAAGAACTAAATGATAAAGAAGATGATTATAATTAAATTAATGAATAGATAAATTAATTGTAAATTTAAAATTTATAATTGAATGAGTAATTATAACAATCATAAGATAGTCTATAATAGGAAAATCGTTCTTAATAAGTAATATAAAATTAAATGAATTAAAATGAGGATCTTATTAAAGAATTGAAATAACTATTAAATGTTACAAATGAATAACTTGGTTAATTATAAATTCAACTTTAAAATACAGATGAAGTTTTAATGGAAAAAAATGAATAATTAGATTTTGCAAATTCAGAATTAGATAAATAAAAGAAAGAAAACTTATAGTTTTAATAAGAATTATAAAGAGCAAATGATTAAATTAATGAACTTAATTATAATATCAATATTTTGAATAATGAAAATTTAACACTTAAAGAAAATTTAAATATTAGTAAATAGAAAATTAATGAGTAATTAAGAATAAATCAGGCCTTTATAGCTGAAAATTAATTATTGCAAGAAAATTTAGAAGATTTAACTAAAAATTTAATAAATAATAAATCGTAAATCTAAGAATAATTAGATGAAATTTAGGAGTGCAATAATAAAATGGAGGATTTATAAAAAAGAAATTAAAAATTAATTGATGAGAGTACAAATTTAAAAGAAGAGATTATGCAAACAAATTAAATAATGAAAACTTTAGAATAATAATTGGGTAATCAAAATAAATCATGTTCAATGTTATAAGATAGTATAGATAAACTGAAAATTAAAAATTAAGAATTATAATCTGAATATTAGATATTATTTTAAGATAAGTAAAATTTAAATGAATAATATTAATAAATTCTATTAGGAATATAACAAGATAATAAATTAATTCAAGATTAGTTAAATAAATTAAATAATGTTTAATATAAAAATTAATAAGAGGAACATCAATTAATAAAAGTATAAAATAATGAAAAAATTGATTCACTAAATGATGATTTAATTTTAACATAAATTGATTTCAATTAATAAAATACTCTTTTATAAAATGGAATATAATAATTAATAGAGATCATTAGATTATAATAATATGAAATCGAAAACCTCAAAACTGATTACAATCTCAATAATGAATAAAAATTATTTCAAAAAAGAGAACAGGAATCTTAAACAGGTGAATAACCTATTCAAAATTTAGAAAATTACAATTAATTAGATATTTATAATTAAATTAATGAATCAACAAATGAGATTAAAGTAGAAGAAAATAATGATTAATTATTAGAATTATAAGGTGGAAATTTAATTGAAGATACTTAATTAGTAAATTAGAATGAGGAATTAATTAAAAAAATTGAAAATTTAAAAGAATAGATAAAATTTTAAGAATAAGAAATTAATTAATTGATTTTAGACAATTAAGATAAATATCAAAAAATAGAAGATCTTAATGTAATTTAAGAATCTTAAAGAAAAATTGAAATAGATTAAGATAATTTTATTAAAATATAGAAACAATAAATTGAATAAGATAAATAAATAATTTTAGATTTAGAAAATATGTTGCTCAAATTAAAATAAGAAATTCAAATTAAAGATGACGAGATTAAAAGTTAATAACAAAAAATTGAAGAGATGAAATAAGAATAATAAGATATAATTTCAAAATTAAATGATGAAATTTATAAGAATAAAAATTATTGCATTGAAATTTCAAATTTAAATTTACAAAATTAAGAATTAAATACTAATCTAAATTAAAAAATTTAAGAATTATATAATCAATAATAAAAAATATTATCATTAGATTAGTTATGTTAAGAATATGAAAATAAATTATAAATTATAGATTTGTTAGAGAAAAAGAATTTTGAATCAGAGTAAAAAATATTAGAACTTTTAACAAATGCAGAGAATCTTTAGGAGTAATTGTCAAATGAATTATAAAATAAAAATAAATTGGAATAAAATATAAATGAATTAAAAAATTATGAAAATGATTAAAAGTAAGAATTATTAGAATTAAAATCTTAGTTTTAAATTTATAAAGAAGAAACTTAAATTTAATTAAATAATTATAAAGAGTAAAATATATTATTATAAACATTAAATGAAAATTTAGAAATATAAATCTAAGATTAAAAATCATAAAATAATGTTAAATAAAGTTAAATTGAAAAGATAAATGAAAGATATAATTTAATAAATGAATAATTCATATTATAATAGTAACAACTAATTTAGTTTGAATAAACAATTAATGAATTAAATAATCAAATATAGTAAGTTGAAACTTGTAATGGCTAATTAATAGATAATGAAAAATAATCAAAATAAAAGTTTGATACTTTAATAGTATAATATGAATAGCTATAAATTTTACATAATTAGTTAATGGAATAAGAGTAATAATTATAATAAGTTAATAATAAATTATAACAACAAATTAATGTATAAATTAATTAAAATAAGGATTTATCTTAATAGAATCGTACATTAGAATAGGGAATTATAGAATTATAATAAATTAATAATTAATTAATAGAATAATAAAATATTAATTTGAAAATACAAGAAAATGAATTTAAATAATTATATTTTGAGGAATAACAAAAAAATTTAAAACTTGATATCAAAATAAATGAAGATACTCAACATATATAACAACTTTAAATAATGAATGAGTAGTTAGAATAAAAATTTAATGATTTATCATTATAAATAAATGATTTAAAATAACAGAATATAGATTTACATAAATTTAATAATGAATTAGTTTAACATAAAAATAATTAAGAATAGAGTTTATAAGTACTTAAGACAATAAATGATAATCAATTATAAGAAATTAAAGATCTAATTAATGCATAAGAATTAAATTTATAAATTTTAAATAATCCAACCTAGCAATTAAATTAATTACAATAGAAATTGTAAAAATTGGAACTCAATCTTTTAAGATAGTTACCAAAATTAAAATAAAAAACCATAGAATTATAAAATTAAATAACTTAGTTAAAAATTGTGAAAAATCAATAAAGAGATATTATAAATGATTTAAATATATAAATATAAAAAGAATAAGATAAATCAAATGAAATAAATAATTAGATATTGTTAAATTAGTAAGCCATTTCTAAATTAGAATTGGAAAAACAGTAGAATATAGCAAATTTTGAAACATAAGTAAACTTAAATGAATAAATGTAGGCAGAAATAGCAGTTTTATAAAAATAAAAGTAAGAATATGAAATTATATCAAAATAACTTGAAAAAGCTTATTAAGATTAATAATAAAAATAGAATTCTGAAATTTAAAAATTAATACAAGATAATTCAGTATTAATGAATTAAAATGAAATTTTAAAAGTGTAATAAATGAAAAACAATTAATAGATTGATATATTGAAAATAGAAATTGAATAATAATCAATAATAACTAAGAGTAAATTAGAAGAATTACTTTCAAAATAAAAAGAAGAACTAAATATCATTGAAGTTACTATTTCAGAATAACAAACTAATTTGTGTAAAAATATATTAAACTAGTTATTAGTAACTACTGAAAAGTTGAATAAACAATAAGAAAAATAAAATATTCATCTTAATAATATAAAGGATTAATATAGAAAAGAAAAAGAAGTCAATAAAAAGTTAAATAGTGAACTAAATTAAATTTAAATGGAATTGCAATAACAGATAGATAGAAATTTATTTTAATAGAATTCTCATTGTTAAGAAAACTAGATTTTGAAAGATAATATAAAGATTGAGAAAGAAGCTAAAGAATAAATAAGCTCTTAAATGATCCAAATTCAATAATAGATTCTTGTACTTTATAACACTATTGATTAAAAGAATTAAGAAATAGATTCTCTGAAAATAATAAATGATAAATTAAATGAATAATCCATAATTGATAAATAAACATTATCAAATGATTTAAAAATGATTCAAGAATAAAATTCTGAATTCAAACAATAATTTTAATAGTAATAAGATTAAATTAATAGTATTAATGAAACACTAATACTTAAAGATTTAGAAATTAATGAATTAAAATAAAAATTGACATATTAAGAGCAGGATACTAATTAAAAAGTTTAAGAATATAAACTTTAAATTGGTGAATTATAAAATATAAACAAGGATGGACTTTAGAAACTGAAATGTAAAGAGGATGAAATTATAGAATTATAACAATATTTAGAGTAGTAAAAAATAAATTAAAAAAATGAATCATTAGTTTTTTTAGGAAATCTGGAATAACTACAATTAAATTTGAATATGAAAGAAGAAGAAATAGCAAGATTTAAATCAATTAATGATGAATTATATGAAACTTAAAAAGAATTAAACAATTAAAAATAGAAAATCTAAGATGAATTGAAATAACAAGTATAGAATTTAAGTTTGAAAAATTCTAAATTAGAAGCAATTATAGAAGAAAAGGATATTGAAATTTAATAAAAATAAAATGAATTTAATGATTTAAGAGATTCTATAAATATGTATGAAGAAAGATTTAATACTGATTAATAAGTGATATCAAAATAATAGTTTGAATTAGAAAATTTACAAAATTAAATAGAAGATTTAAAAAAAGAAGAAGAATTCACAAAATTAGAATTTTAATAATAATTAGAAATCAAGAAATTAGAATAAATACCATAAATTACTAATATATAAGAAGAAGAAATAATTCGATTAAATAAAATTATTTAGGAGAAAGATTAATATATTGATTAACTTTAGAAAAATATAAATGAATTTATTAATAAGAGTTAAAATGATGTTAATTAAATAGATTAATTTAATAATATTGTAGAAAATAATTAGAATTCAGTAGATGAATAGTAATAACTATTAGATCAATTATAATAAGGTTAAAGATAGATTAATGAATCAGATTAAGAGTAATTAAAAGAAGAAAGGTTTATTTTATAGAAATTAAGAGAAGAAAATGATATTTTAAGAAAATAATTAGGAGATTAAGAATAAGAATTAATTATAAATAATTAAAGGATTCTTGATCATGAACAAACAATCTTGAATTTACAATTAGAATTATAAGCTAGTAAAGATACTAATGAATAAAATAAATAAATAAATAAGTAAGATGAGCAAATAAATTAAAATTCAGAATAAGAATAATAATAATTTGAATAAAATCAATAATTATAAAAAGATAATAATTTAGAAACATAATTAATATCAAAATTAAAAGAAGAAAATGAGATTCTAAAAAGAAATTTATATGATATATAAGAAGAACTAAAAGTAAATAATTAGAAATTAGATGATCATGAATAAACTATTTATAATTTACAAAATGAATTATATGAAAAGAAAGAAAAATTTGAAAATTTAGAAAATAAATTAATGGATAATCAAATATCATAAGTGAGTAATAGATCAAAGTTAAGTTAAGAATAAATTCGTTTTGAATAATTACTTGATATTGGTGTTGAAGATTAAGATTAAGATTTAAATGATAATGATTCATTTGAATAAAAAGAGAATATATTTTAATAACATTAATTTAATTTAAAACAATAAGAATTAAATGATAAAATAAAGGAATTGAATGAAGAAATAAAATAATTAAAAGAATAAAATAAGTATTTTTATATAAAATATATATTAGATCTCTTTAAGATTTTATTAACAGAGGTAGTGCTCCTAGTCCTATATAAAATAGAGAATCTGATCCTAATAAATCTTCAAAGATAGTATAAGAAAGAGAAAAACGTATTTAAGATTTATAAAATTAATTGTATGAAAAAGATTAGACATTAACTAATAATAAATCGAAAAATTAAGTTCTTTTTGAGTTTAATTAAGATGAAGAAAATTAAATTTAAGATGATTTAGCTGAAGATATCAAATTAGAACAATAAGCTAAAAATGATTTTGCAAATGATTAACAAGAGCATATAAAATATTTAGAGATCCAAAACTATGAACTTCTCAATAAAATTAGCACTTTGGAGAATGATAAAAAGTATATATAATAAAATATTAATTTAATAGAGAAATTTACATACTTATTGATGAATTATAATAAGAGAAATCAAAAAAAGATTAAATGATTTCCCATTTATAATCTACACTTACAGAACTAAATAGGTAATATATTATTAATATATTTTTAGCTAAAATAAAGAATTATAATTTTAGATTTAATAATAAAAGAAGGTTTAAGAATCTATTTCAAAATATCCTTCTGATTAATAAAAAGAATTGTAATAGTAATAATAATAATAATAATAATAATAATAATAATAATAATAATAATAATAATAATAATAATAATAATAGTAATAGTAATAATAATAATAATTAAAGAGTGATTAAACTTAAGAATTAATCACTTTAAAAAACTAATATGAATAATTAAAAGGATTAAGCCAATAATTCTTCTCAGCTATTTTAAATAAGTATATTTTATAATTGTATCAATTTTAGAACTCCTGAGATTGCTGAATCAATCTTAGGTGTCATTTTGAGTATGATTGAAATGACAGATAAATAAACTATTTGTTAAGAATTGTTTGCTAAGTCAGATGAAAAGAAAGACAAAAAAACTAAAAGTAAAAGTAAAGGAATAAAAGGATGGCTTGATAAATTTTGAATGAATTATAATTTTTAATTAAACTCTATAAATTATTAATAATATTCATATAGTTTCTAAAATATTTCCATATAAGGAAATTAACTTAAATATTCAATACTCTCATTGTGTGTTATTTTGTATAATGTAATTTTAATAAATCAGTTTCTTTATATTTAATCAACATTGTATGTTTATAAGCTGTTATAAGCCCTACTATTCCAATAAAACCAAATCCTAAAGTTTATATAGTTTCTTATAAAGAGCCATAATCCCTTGGGTATTATAATGCTATTTATCTATTAAGAATTTATTCTTAAGTTAGAAATCCTGATTCCATAAAATACTTTAGTAATACATAATCAACATAAATTGCAAGAAGAATAATATAGTATTTTATAAAAATTGTCATTGATAATAATTATATATATATATATATCAAATTCAATATGCAAGTAAAACATATATCAAAGGATCAATTTCATAAAAATTTGAGTTATTTTAAGATTGTTTTTAAAGCTTAAAATTATAAAGGTTTAGATAAATGTAAATCAGCTCCAATTTCTAAAGATTATTTAAGATCTCTTTCTCCTTAAAAAGCAGACAACATACAGATCTTTGATCTTTAGTATTAGTTATTTAATTCAAATTATCTAATCATTTAGGTAGCCTAAATTCCATCTAATATTGGCATATTGATATCCATAAATATGATATCAAATCTAATGCTTTAGACTTGTTCTAATGCTTCCTAACCATTATGAGCTTCATGAATATCGCATTGAATAACAATCTACTTTAATAATTATTTTAAAACATAAATATTAAAGATTGTATCATCTACAATTAGTATTTTTAATCTTTAATATAAACTTGTTGACATATCAACAACTGTTTAATATTTTCTATTTTATCTTTTGATTACAGGATTTGGCATTCTATGAATAGGAGATGGATCATTATCAGGAGATCCATTATCTTCTTTTAAAGTATTAATATTGATGCATTCTCTATGCTATGCATTTAGATATATCGAGAAACTAAAATTTGATCCTTTATTTTCCACTGAATTCATTTCAATAAATTCATTAGGACCTAATAAACCAACTAAATTTCTGGATATTACTAATCCTAATCCTACTCCTTATGAATTTTAATTTCCTAAATTAAAGGTTGAATAGGCTTTGAATAATTTATTCTATATATGTATAGGTATTCCAATTCCAGTATCTTAGACAGAGAAATGAATTAATTGTTGAATACCTGAATTTATCTTATTAATTTTCAATGTAATTTATCCATTATAAGTAAATTTAATGGCATTAGATATTAAATTAAATAAGATTTATTATAATCTAATTTGATCTGAATACATGATTACTTTTTCATTTAATCCAATAACGTTGAATTATAATTTTTTTAAATCCATTTACCTTTTGAACATATTTTTAATTTGTTGTACACATGCTGAAAGATCAAATTATGTATAATTTAATCTTAATCCTTATTTTTTTAATTATGAATAATCAATTAAATCATTAATCATTGTTAATAGAATTTATTAATTTGAAATCATGTCATCAATATGAACAACAATTTCTAAAATATTAATTAATAATACCCTAAATATCATTTCTACCAATAAATGATTTATTTTCCATCATTGTTTTAATTAAATTAGCTAGAATGCTTTGGCCATTGAGAGGAGTTTTGAGATCATGAGAAACAGCAGCCAATAGATTATCTTTATAATTATCTAAATCTTAGAGATGTTTGATCCTTAAAACTCTATCTGTAGTATCATTTAATATTAACATTATACATTATTTTCCATCCCATAAACAACCTTGAGCCTAAGCATCATAGTAATGAACTTTAGATTATTTAATCTCCTAAATAATTTGATTTTATACTCTCTGACATTGCATTTTTTTGTTTGTTGACATTATTTAATAATCAAAGGAATTAATTGTATTAAAACGCATCTCAGTTTATAAAGTGGATTATAAACCTTAAATTTTATCCAAAAGCTTATTCTTTTCACAATTTAAAATCGAATCTTCTGAATTCACAATTTCTATTTCAGCTAATCTTTCAGTTAAAATGTCTTCCTCAGCTGTTTCAAAATGTATAGATGCACTCTTATTAAAATAAGCTACATTCATAAGTCTGTTATCCAATGTATATAATTTTTCTTTTTGTGTAAGTACTGAATTTAATACATCATTATTATTAACTCCTTATTATTATACAATCTCTTCCAAAATGATTATCGAAGTTGGAACAGTTTCATCATAAAGTTTCTTACATGCTTCTAGATTTTTATGAGACTTCTAAATTAATAAAAAGTTCAATCTATTTGTTTTTTCATTCTATCTTAATAAATAACATGTAAAAATAAGAAGGAGATATTATGTCCATAATCTATAATTTAAAAATTAAGTAAATATTCCCATCAAAATAAGGAAGAAACTTATCATTGTTAAACTTTGCATTATATAGTTTGATTAAATTAAAAAAAAGCTCATAGCAAATAATCCTTATTGCAAACCTGAAATCAAAGAAAGACTCATAATATCATCTATATTTGTTTGAGCAGTATTCACAAATTTTGTAAAGAAAGCAAACAACAAAACACTTATCACACTATTGATAAAAATCAGTATATTTGTGGTGATATTCCAATATTTCCTCGAAATTTTCTATAAAAATAAACATATGAGCATCCATCCAATAAAAATTGATCTAAATTTCACAATATCTGATGAATTATACACAACAGCAGAGTTGATAATAAAACCAAGGTTTATCAAGATCTATAATATTGTAGATATCCTAAATTAAACAATTACTTTTGCCATTTATCTATTTTAATAAGACTATTCTAAATCTTCAGATAGAAATTAAAGTGTTAAACTATTTAAAGATTCCTCATATTTATAGAGTTCTTGTATTTATACCTGAAGAAAGAATTATTGGAAACATTGTTTAAATAATTTCATGAGATTTAATAAATAATTAATATACAAATAAATCATTTGACAATTAGCTAGTGTTAATTAACAAACAAATTTAAGCTATTCAAATTGGATGATTTTATTTGAATTTATCTTTAAGAAAATTATCCAAATTTCAGATGCTTTAAAAGTTCATAAAATTGAATGTCTTCTTTAATAATAATAAGAAATTTCTAAAAATTATATTATTTATTCCAAATTTTTAATATTATTAAAATTATTCTTCTCTTTTTATAAATGTACCCTTGATTGGAGAAGAGAAGAAATTAATTATATATACATAAATTTAATAATTCTATAAAATAATATAATATACCATCATTCATTATTATGCAACCTTTTAAGAAATTACAAAATGCTAATAACAAATTAATTGAAAATTTTATTATTTATTTGGAAATTTTCTAAAATCAGAAAAGTCTAAAGTTTCAATTAATTTATGGGTTTTACCTATTAATTATTTTTTTGAAACAAATTAATATTGTTATAATTATAAGTAAATAGTAAATATTTCATCTCTTGTTAATTTATAAACTGAAAAATAATATGTATTTTGGTTTTATAGAGCAGAATAAATAACGGATAAGCTTTTTATCATATTTAATCCTAATATCAAGTTTATTCTTAGTTTAACCTATTTTTAAAATTTATTTTTCTAGAAATAAAAAAGTTATTATTTTAAAAAGAATAATACAAAAATAACTTCACAAACATTTTTAATTACTATTTTATAAGTTTCAATCTTTAGTTTTATTATAAATAAATAAATAAATAAATTCATTAAATCATGGTATTCTTAAATCCCAGTATAAATTTTTGATCCAATCATCCTTTATCTTAACAACTTTCAAAAACTTTCACAACTCTTATATGATAATAAAGATTATTCATTTATATATATTAATCGATATTAATAATTTATAATTGATTAGATAATTGATATGTTAATTTAATAAAAAATTATTATTAACCAACGACTTTTCGATAATGCATGAAAAGCTGTTAATGAGCTTCTTACAAAGATAGTTTTATGTTACAAATTTGTAGAAATTCTTTATAAAATATTGTTAAAAAGATAATTTTTATAAAACAAATATTTATATATATATATATATATAATATAAAAAAAATAACTGATGGATTGGAGAAACAAATTGGATTTAATTTAGAATAAGATTAGAGGATAATTACACGCTCGTAAAATAGATGACTTAGAAGGAGTGTATTAATTAATGTCAGAATTTGATAGAGATAACTCTGGTATTTTATATAGTGATAATAGGATATTTGGATAAGGATGAATTCTAAAAGTTTTTATCAAAGATAGGAGTATTTCTAACGACTTAAGAATTGAGAGCAGTATATGACAAATATGACTTAAATAAAGATGGCAATATAGCATATGCAGAGTTTGTGAATTTAATAAGAGAAAATATGAGTGAAAAGAGAATAAATGTAGTGAGAAATACATTTTCATTTTTGGATTAATCAAGATAAGGGAGATTATAATTAGAATGTCTTTATAAACTTTATCAGGCTAAAAACCATCCTAGAGTAAGAACAAGATAAAAGACAGCTTAATAAGTAACAAAGGAGTTTGTGAATGCAATATCTAAACGTAGTAAGGATGGCTAAAGTATTAATGAAGATGAATTCTTAAATTATTATGCTGATTGTAATGCTACACTTCCAAATGAAAAGGAGGAATATTTTACAGATGTATATATATTATTGGATAATATTTGATAGTTATTAACATCTACTTGGGGAGTTACATCTGGTGCTGATTATGTTTCTCCAGAAAGATTGGCTTAATTGGAAATAATATTATTTGAAAAAATTAGATAAAAGACAGTCACCAAAGATGATGAAGGAAAGACAGCAAAAAAGGCATTTATGTATTTTGATTTGGAAAACAAAGGAACTATAGATATATATTAATTTGCATAAGCTTTATAAAAGTTTGGTTGTGTATTTAGTGAAAAAGAGATTTAAGCATTATTTAATAAATATGACTCTGATAAAAGTGGAAGATTATGTTATGATGAAATATGTGGGTTGATAGCATTAATGGGATCAGGAAACAATGCAAATGTCAATCCAGTATTTTAAATTTCTAGAGCTCCTCCTTAAGATACATTAAATAGAATCAGAAATGATTTAATAAAGAAAGGATAACATTCTGTTATTAGAATGGCCACTATTTTTACTAATTCTGATAAAAATAAAAATGGAACATTGAATAGATAAGAATTTCAATGGGCAATGAAAGAATCTGGATTGTTATTAACCAAAACAGAATATGATAATTTATTCAGATTTTTTGATAAAAATTGTGATGATGAGGTCTCTTTTGTTGAATTTATTGCTTTTTTAAGAAGTACTTATATATTGTATAATAACAGAACCACTTTCTTAATATAGAATAAATTTAGCAAATTAATTATGGGATAGATTGTCAAATGGAGAATCATAACTAACCACTTAATAATTAAAATGTATTTTTATTTATTTAATTCAAGAATCTTATGATGCATCAAAAAGTCATGATGTAAATATAAATATTAAGACAGTTGCTGATGCCAATAAAGATTTTCATGATATTTGGAAAGATTGTTAAATTGTTACTCAATAACATTTTATAGAATATTTAACAGATATTAGTGCACTTATTGATAATGATTAATCTTTTGAGAAGTTTATAAGATATGCATGGAAATGAATATCATATAATATAATAAAGAATAATTTATATGTATATAAAAGAAGAGAGTATTTATAATATTCTCCCTAAACAAAGCATACCAACTAAAACCTTCATTCTATACAAATCTCAATGTCAAGACACAATACCTCCTTTGATAATCATTCTAATGTATGCAAATACTTCACCAATTATAAACATGATAGATTTTATTTTTTAATCAAAAAAAAAAATTTGTTATTATTCCGTTGAAATTAGATTATAATGGTTTAATAGATTCAGATATAATATTCAAATTTCTAAAGTTTTTAATATCCCTATTTAAATATAACAAAGTGATTTATTATTTCATAAATACATGATAAAATAAAAGAAAATTAATAATTGTCTCTTTTAAGACTAAATATATTTAAATTAAATTAATATTACCTATGTTTAAAGGAGAATAAATCTAAGTCAGTAATTTGTTAACTCAGGAAAAGATATACTTGCTGGAAAATTTCTAGGATTTATGGAGATCTGCCCATCAATAACTAGATAAGTAAATAATGTGAATAAAAATCTAAAGAAAATTGATTCTAATTTTTTAATGAAATTTTAAGATAAATTAAATTATATTTAATTTTGACTATTCTAATGGAATAAAAAAATTAATTAATTTTCGGAAAAAAATAAATAAAGTTTAATATTCCAAAGAACAGAGTATGTAATAGTTACAAAGATTAAAGAGTATTTCTATTATTATAATTGAAAGTAAGGAAAATTCAACATTGAAAAGAGGGATAAAATTCAAATTTATGATAACAGAAATAAAAGAAAAAAAGAGACAATAATCACTTATGAAATAATATTTAACAATAATTTATAATTTATAAATGTAAGATTAATCCAATTTTTTAAACTTAAACTGAACTTTTTAATGCTCGTTTAGTAGATATAGGAAATTCTGATTCTCTAAAAAAGTTTGGAATAATCTTATCTACCTTGGCATCATTTATTGGCCGAAATTATTGAAAGCCATTCATTTCTTAAAAGAAGAATTAGATTTTGTACAGCTGAAAACGAGACAATGCGCAGATTGTTTTATAAATTTTGAAAAAATGAATTGGCTATGTGGGCATCCTCATCTTGAGTATGAGAATGCATAATTTTGATTTTATATATCATATATATAAATAATTAACTGAATATGGGTAGCTGCTAGATGAATTGCTGTGCCAATAAAACTGGTGAAATTGCATCCAAGGAGACTAAAAAGAATGAGGTGGATTTAGAAGATCCTGATCCAAATGACTATGATGACAAAGAAAACAGTGTGTCATCAGTCCAATAATAATAATAATAGGTTTCTGAAACTCCAAGATAAAACAATAAAGAGAGAGAAAAATTTTAAGTTGATAATGAAAGCATGTCTATGAAAAAAAATTTAGAACCTTAATCTGTTAAAGAAGTAAGTATTACTTATCTGAATTGCACTGAAAGACAAAAATTTGATCCAATCTAATTAGATAAAGGAGCCATATATGAGGGGGAATGGTTGTTAGGAAAAAGGGATGGAAATGGTAAATAATAATGGCCAGATGGTTCATGTTATGAAGGATAATGGAAAGATGATAAAAGTTGTGGTTGGGGTAAATTGATTCATGCAGATGGAGATGTATATGAAGGAGAATGGCAAAATGATAAAGCAAATGGGAAAGGAGTATATGTTCATATTAATGGAGCTCGATATGAGGGAGATGTATAAAAAAGATTAATTTATTAGTGGGTTGATGACAGATAAGATGGTATAGGAATTGAAGTTTGGCCTGATGGAGCTAAATATGAGGGAGAATATAAAACAGGTAAGAAAAATGGTAAAGGCATTTTACTATTTGCTGATGGTTCTCGATATGAAGGTACTTTTGTTGACAATGAAATTGATGGATATGGAACATATTAATGGCCAGATTAACGAATTTACACTGGATAGTGGAGAAGAAATAAAATGCATGGTCATGGATAAGTAACTTGGCCAGATGGCAGAAAATATATAGGAGTATCCATAGCAAAATATTCTTTAGGAATACTTAGAAGATAAGAAACATGGTAGAGGATCATTTGAATGGGGAGACGGAAGAAAATATGAAGGAATCTGGGTTAATGGTAAATATATATATATTTATACTTTTAAAGGGAAATAATAAGGAATTGGTGTTTATTATATGTCAAATGGAGAAAAGAAATATGGAGAGTGGAAGGATGGAATTAAGAAAAGATGGTTAGAAGCAGAAGAAATAGAATAATATCTATAATAAAATGCTTAGAATCAAAAATAACAATGAATTACTCATAGTTAAACTTATTAGATTTTACTCATTATATCCCTTCATCTTCTTCTGTTGAGTCCTCTACATTTTATTATATTTATGGTTCTTATTCCTCTTCTTAAGCATCTGACACTTCTTCATCAAAATTGAAGAAGTTTTCATCCAATCCCAATTAAGGCAGTTTTTCTTTAAATAATTACTTGATTTCTGTCAATTGCTTCTTTATTCTCTCATTTTCATTCAATATCAACTCCTTCTCTTTCTATTATTATTAGATAAACTCTTTGAATTTTCCTATTAAAATCTCTTTCTTATTTATTTCTGCAGATAAATCCTTCTCTTATTTTATCAAATTCTATAATAATTGTTCTTTATCATTCAATTACTCTTTCTATTGATCAACTTTTTATAATAATTAACTATTAATAGTAAATCTTATTCATACTTCTTTTATCCTTCTAATTATTCTTTTAATTATTTCATCATTTCATTAATTTAATCCTCCTATTTAGATTATTATTTTATTTCTGTTATGGTGCTTTCACTCTTTTAAACCTTCTATTCAAATTTAGCAATCTTTTCACTATATTCTTTTTCTAAAATTTCAAATTACTTTTTCCATTTGTTCTCTTATAAATTCAAAACTTATTCAAATTATTTAATCTCTAATTCTATTTTAGTTAATTCTTCCTTTTATAATTAAATTCCCTATTATGCAATTACTACATGATTTTATTTTGTTTAAGAAAATATCTATGAATCTATTGTCTAAATCTATGAATATTAATTAATTTGTCTCATTTCTTAATATATATTATAATACATGTTAATGAGCATATTTCTGTCTTGTGATTTAAGTTCTAATTATGAACTTCTCCATCACAGTCATAACAAAATCTAGCCTAGCAATTCTAACAGAAAACTGTTCCTGGTTTTATTGAACATTAATCACAGTATTTGAATAATTTTTTCATTAATAAAAATTTATAAATGAAAATCAAAGAATGGCTTTTAGATAATGATAAAAGAAAAAAAGTCATTACTTTTATTTACAGACTAGCCCTAAAAAAATAACCATTTCATTCTAATAGACTTAGAGAATAAATTGATAAATGCAAATTTTCAGATGATATACAACATATTTGGAATCAATTTGATACTTTAAGAGCTTACTATAAATTATTGCTAAATTAATCCTAGTTTGCAAATTAAGTAAAATTAATCAGAATTATTCATGAAAATACAATGTTTCATAATAAACCAGAACTAGTTGCAATAGAAAGAATAAAAAAAGAAAAATAGTTTAAATTGCTAAATGAAAATGATTAATTCTTTATTCTTGACTTATTAAATAATGCAATTAAAAATAACAATGATCAAAATAGATAAAGATATCCAACTTTACTCCATTATATTAATGATAAAAATAGCGAAAGTAATATCAAGATTTTTACTATTTAAAGAATACGATCAAAAATATACACCACCATTACCTTAATGTGTTGAATGCTAAAATTTAACGTATTTGTAAGCCTACCAATATTTATAAAATAAAGATTTATAAAAGTAATCAATTAAGAAAATTTGAATTATATTTTTATATATGATAGAATTCATATAGTTTATTATTTTTTCTTTTCTTAAATTCTTTAATCTATTCTCTTCCTAAAAAATAGAATATAAGGGTCTGGATAGTGCACATCATAATTAAGCCAACCTTTAAATAGCTTAATACCTAATTCTCTCCATTCTGGCTCTCTCAGCAAAAACCCTTTAAAATTTAGATTTAAAAATACCTCTCTTGTTTATTGGAATCTTTTGAGATATTTTTTGATCCAGATAAACTATTAAGTAAACATAATAATCGTCTCTATATTGATCAGAATAACTTATCAAGATTTCTTTATTTTCAAAGTCCATTTTGAATTAGTATTAATTAAATCTGACATAACTTACCCAAATTTCTTTTAAGGAAAAATATTAACATCCATCAGATAAATTAAAAAAATTTTAAATAGATAATAAGAGTAAATAAAATATACTAATAATATGATTCAAGGGTTAGTTTAATTGATTTCATCTTTGTATAGATTAAAAGATCCCATTCCATTTACTTATTCGGTATTTAATTATTCTTGTGAAGATTTATCAAATCTTAAATTGGTTTACATTATTAATGTACAATTTCTTTATCTTTGAAAAAGGGTTTAAGTTGCATCTCTCACTGTATTAATATTTTTACGAAATTTTATAAAGGGGTTTTTAGAAAAAGTTGGCATCACTTGTTTCTTAAGACTAATATTTTATATTTATCATACATTGAAATATTATTTATTTTTTAAAAATCTGCTTCACTTTCTACAGAATCTTCAGAAACAAAAATTTATGTTTCAATAGGTTATCTGCTGGCCATCTAAAATCTGGGTTTTTTGAAAGCATTTTCATCAAAAAATCTTTTTCAAGATCATCCAATTAATCAGATGGAAATCTACTTAAGTTAATACTGCATTTTCTATTCAATTCTAATTACTCTTTTCTGTCCTTTTTTTCAAATAAGGGTTCTCCTACCAATCTTAAATTAATGTAATTCATTTACAAAACATATAAAATAACTCCAGCACTAAATATATCACAAGATACAGTATATCTCGCCAAATCAGAATCTTGTTCAAGTATTTCAGGAGCTACAAAACCAGGTGTTCCACATTTTGGATATGTATAGGGATGAGAACCTACTGATTATGCTAGACCAAAATCTGCAATTACTAATGAATCTAAATCTTTGTTCATAAATAATATATTTTCTGGTTTTAAATCTCTATGCATTATGTTATGATTATGAATAAAAGCTAAACCTTCAAGTAGCTATTTCATTATAAGCTTGATGTCCTTTCTACTAAAAAGAATTTAGCGTTTTTTCATAAGAGCCAATAGTGAACCACCTTTTGCCATTTCCATAATTAAATAATAATTTTAATTTCCTATATAGAGTTCGTGTAATTATAAAATGTTATCATGTTTCTACTCAGAAAGTATTCTCATTGTTTCTATTTCTTATTGCAATTATTTCTAACCATTCTTCTTTTCATTTATACGTTGTTAATCAATACATTTAGCAGCATATTGTTTATTTGTACATAAATTGGTTAATTCTAGAACTGTTGCATAAGACCCTTTTCCTAAAACAGATTCAGCTTAATATTCATCTTAAATCTACACTTGAAAAACATTTAATGCACATTTCTACTTAAGTTCCCTTAACTATTCGTTTGTTCCATAATATTCATAATGTTAGCTGCTTACTTAAAAGATTACTGATTTTAATTTATTTTTTGTATAAGTCCATTTAATTCTTAATTCTGAGTTGATTCGAAATTGACGTTCTGGAATCTAAACAAAAGGTGACTTAAATATCTAAAGATAGATGGATACCTTTCCTATACAAATGGAATTCTTAAACAAATAAAGGTATCTCAGTCCCCTTCCAAGAAATTTCTTTTTAGTCAACAGACACTTATAATTACACTTATCATAATCGACAGCTTACAATTTTCTTTCTACACCCTCGTGAACGGTTTGAGATTTTTGTCTCATAATATAAATAAATAAATTTTTATTCATATCAAGTTTAGAGTTTATGTTGCTTTTCTTTTGTAAATTCATCTTTTCTTTACTTTATTTTATCCAATATTAGTAATTATTAAATAGGTAGAGGTTATTTATTCCAGTTTTTATTATTTTGAGATTAAAATCTAATTTGAATAATTATTTTGAAGAAATGATTATGAATTTTTCATGTTTCTGATTACTAGAAAAACATTATACCTCTATTTCAAAATAAAAAAATAAAAATTAACATCATATTACTAATACTATTGGATAATATTCAAGAATTTTAACTTCTAGATATTGATATATTGGTTATGTTAATAGATTTAATTTGATTTTTCTTCTTGGACAGCTAAGATTAGTAATGTTTTCTTGATGTTATAACATTTATAATAAAAATTTATTAAGAGATCTAGATTATATTAAAATATGATTTAAACTAGATTCATTTCATTGATATAACTAGCTTTTGATTTTTGAATTCATAATCAGAGAATACAGCTATGATTTTTAGAGTTTCTGAGATATTTAACATGCTGATTTCCAAACTATCAGAAGAAATAATTTTAATTTCTATTTTGATAATCAATAATTACCTGTAACTTTGACAACTAATCGAATCATCTCTGATATCTCCATTGGCTCAGAAACACCACTCAAAAAAATAGTCTTAGAGAGTGGAGCAATTATTTTTGGTCCATTTGGATTGTAATAAATCATGTATTCATCTTTAATAGTCGTTGGTTGTAATTAAAATAATGGGATGTATGTTATACGCCACTATTTTAGTTAAAATTTTGATTACTTATTGATCAAAAAATGTGATATTGTTTAAGTATTCTTTTGCAATTTAAGCAAACTCTACTGTTTAATATCTTATAAACACTCTTTTAAACTGCTTTTCATATAATATTTCTTCGATGTTGCCAAATTTATTAAAAATATTATATAACATCTTAGCAGTTACTCTTTCATCAATAGATTGTATTTTAATAATTTTGGATGGTTTTTGAGTGATCATATTATAAACATCCTCAGAAATTTCAGGGGTTGAAGAAGTTTTTTATTTTAAAACATCCTTAGCCTCATCTTCTGAATCTGAATTTAATAAGTTATTAATCTCCTCATTCCTTTAGGGACTCATATTCCTTTGTGGAGTTTAAGTAAATGTTCGAGTAAATTGATCTAATTGTTATCTCAATATGTTTGGATCATCTGTGTTTGAGTGTTTCACTACATCTGAATTAGTGCTGCTTGTTTAGGTATAGTCGGTTCCTCGAGATTTGTCAACTACTTCCAAATCTAAATTTTTCAGACGAGAAAAATGTATTGTTAATCTAAAATCTATAAGCAAAAAATACTTTCCTTCCCCCTCAGCCAAATATTTACCTATTTTATCTTTCCTTGCTTCCATTGCATTTTTTATATCATAATATTCGACAAATGCCTTGTTTGCTTTACCTCTTTCGAAAATAAGAATCTTTTTGATATCCCCGTATTTTGCAAATTGTTCAAATAGCAGATCATTACACAAAGGAAATGTTGGAGATAATTATGTAATTACAAGAAGCAATATTTTGCTAGGTGGATCTCTTGAATTATTATTCATTTAATTAATAATATATATTAATTCTTTTCAATTTATCTTCTAATCTATTAACCATTGCTTTTCAACAAGAATCATCTTATGATAAATTCTAATTAATTTATTAATATTAATCATTCCAACTTCAAAATATGATTCTTGAAATAATTCACTTTACTATAAGTATAAATAGGAGCATAAATCACAGCATTTTATGGGTAACTCGTCTTTGAATAACCTGGATCGTTAACATTAAAAGTATCTCCAGAATACGATGTCATCAAAACATAATGAGATCCATCATTTACTCCAAGAATCACATGGTCTCCATTGTCAAATTTCACTTATATAATTCAATCAAAATACTTTTCGCTTAAGAAGCTGAGAATTTGCCTTAATAAACAAATCCAAAGTCCTATATTGAAGACCAAATAAAAAGATCTCCAGAAGCATAACCATTGTTCCTCTTTAACCATGAATTCATTGTTCTTGGAGTTGTGATCCCATCTGTTGTTATTCCATAAGTGTTGAATATCATGGCGATCGATGAAATCAAACTTCCGTTAGAACAAATTGTGCTAGATCCTGTACCTAATTTATCTGATCCCCATTGATTATCGCACTGTTTGTACGAAGTATATATTTTTCCATTCACAAAAACTAAAATCAAAGCTAAACCTATAATTTTTTACATTATTATATTTATATATTATAAATATTTTTTTCAAATCAACATATTATTATAAATCTTTTGAGAAAGTAGATATTACAGTATCGAAATTTTGAGCTATGATGATATTCATGATTTGATATTCATGATTTGTAATATTTTTGATTTATTTGTGTTATATTTTGATATTTATGGCAAATTCGTTAGAATTCATCGAATTAATATAATATAAAAAAACAAATTAGTTCTAATTTAATTTACTTAAAATGATTTTGGAAAAAAATAAACATAAGTATTTAACAATTATTCTTTCTTCACAATAATTATAAATATGTTTAACGATTATGATAATTAAATAATTAATAAACTAATAAACTAAATTTTGAAATATTTAAAATATTCTTAAAATTATAATAACTTTCATATATTTTTAAGATAAATACACATACTAAAATAAATTCTAAAATCTCAAATATTAATTTAAAAAATATTCTTTAAATTATAAAAACTTTGATAAATGTTTTACAGTTAATACATAATTTAAAATACAATTGTAAAACATCAGAATATTCTTAAAATTATATCATGTTTGATAAATAAAAATGATTAATAATATAATTATGAAGAAATTTAGGGTAAGAACCTTCTACATAATTATATAAAGAAAATCTAAAAAAAGAAAATTCACACTGTTTGAAATATATTATCCTCTAAACTGATGATACTTGATCTTTTAAATTTTTAAGGAAGGCAATCAGCTTAATGAAAAATTATTAATTTATTAATAAAGATATACCTGGATATTAAGGGCTTACATTTAGTCATATTTGGATGCATACAAGGAGAAATTATAATTTGAAGAATCTTACTTCAACGTTTAGAGATATCATATTGCCTTAAAAAGAAAATTAATTAAAGGAAAGTTTAATTCTAGATTAAAAGAAAACTATAAATATTTTTCTTCATTAAACTAGTTTTGGACACAATATAAAAATCCCAAAAATTTGACTAAAAATGTGATTCTCTTAACATAATCAACTATTTATAACCAAAGAAAACCATTAGGGATATTAGGTGCGATTTTGTGCAATGAGTCAAGAAGCTTACTAAGTGTTAGTTGGCAATGCGAATGGAGAAGTATGACCAACACCTAATTGATCTTTATAAAAAAACATAAGCAATAATTATCAGGGAAAATTTGATATTTATATTTAGATAATTCAAAGGTTCATCATAGTAAGATAATATTTAAGATATTATTGCTGATACTCCTTTTACACTCCAATTTAACCCCATAAAAAAAATTTGAAATTGCTAAAAAGCATATTTGCATATATAGCCTTAATTACTACAACACATGTACATTAAGAAATAAAAAAATTTGTTAATAAAGATCCAGAAAAAAATTTATCAAAGAGAGGAGTTTTGATGATTTTAGATATTTATTGATTAAAATGTAAAATGAAGAAGTTTTAATTCTGCTAAATGAAGGCATATGTTATGAATCAGGAAAATTCGAATTAGAATTTGGTTGGTAATATTTAAAAATTAATATTAAAATTATAAAATTATCGTTGAAGTTATTACGTAAAAGTTATATTTACTTTTCAATTAATTTAAATTATCATATGGTGAATATATAATGGTTTTAATAATATTATATATTTTCTCAAATTGAATGTAATTGTATAATATTATAATAATCATTAAGTTCCATCTTTTTCCAAAATTGCATAATAATTGACTTAGAAAGTCTCACATATTCTATTTTATGCGTATGAACTTTTATAATTATCCCTAAATTATACTTTAAAATCGATTGATTGTGATATGATTTACTAAGATATTAACCAAAACTACTTGTTAATCGATGTTAATTTATTTCTTCAATTTTAAATTAAACATTTTATTTGCTTCAATTTTCCTTCTTAATTAGCTTTTTTATTGCTCTTGGCTTAATGATACAATTTAGACATAAATGATCTATTAATTATATCATAAATTTTTTCAAAAATTAATACTATTAATTGATTATTTCAAAGATAAATAAACATGAAAAATTGTTCATTAATTTTAATTCATCAAAGGCTCCTCGAATCTTTGTTTGAGGTTTCTTTTTTTGATCGTATTCTTTAGAAGAAAATAAAAGGAAGTAATAAAACAAGAACAGCTTAAAACCAATAAAATTATAGTTGCAACTTTGAAGTCCCATTATTTATAAGTACAATCTAAAATCAAAATATTGACAAAAACAAATAATGTTACTAAAGATGGTATCAAATTTTAAATGATATCAATAATATTGATAATCTATAAGGTTTATTTCTAAATTTTTTTTATAATCTAATATATTATTAGATTTAATAGTATTGATGTTAAAGCAAATCCAATAATTAAACCACTCATGAGAGGAAGATAATTTTCATAAACACATAGATATGTATTGCATTCCTCTAAAGACTAACATACTTCTTATTCTAAATTAGACATGCAGTATTTTCCCGTAAATGTTAACGCAATTTTGATTTGCGTTGAACTTCCTTACATCCAAGCCACATCAAGAAACTATGTCACACAAATGAAAATCAATCCTAAAAGGATAATAATTGAATGCATTTATTATTTATTATTTAGAATTGCTTTGAATAATTCAGTTTTGAGATATTCTGCATTTTTAATCCATATAGATGCTTATTTTATTTCAAGAATTTAATTAATAAAATATAAATTTCTACTTAAAAAATTATTTTAATTAAAAAAAAAAATAAAATAGAATAATTAAATGAATTGAAAGAAAAATTCGTATTAAATATCTAAAATTAATGGAAGCTTATTATATCATCCAATAGGATGCCAAATAGATAATTGGATAAAATAACATCTTTCATTATTAATAAATAATATTTGAGTATAAATATCTTTGTTTGATTAACTCATAAAAATGTCAAATTTAAATGATATTTTTTGGAATATTTATAAATATTTTATTGATACAAAAACCTATTTTTAATATTATCAAACAACCATTTTTTAGTAACTATTTCTGAGCTATCTGCAAGAACTGTTTAAACCATTTAATAATTTAACATTAACAAGTTTACTATCTGTTATTTCATTAAAAAGCAAATTAATTAGATTATGAATTTAAGACAATATTTCATTTAATTTTTGATCCTCCTAAAATTTTGATACGATTTAATTGAATACATTATTAAACTAATTAATTAAAGTAGACAATTTTTAGACATTTTAACTTATATTGCAATTATTCATTTCATTTTCTTTATTTGATTCTCTTTGAGTTAGAGTCTAGAATTTTAAACTTTTAATTTCTTTTATAATTTAACCCTGATGTTATAAAAATGATTATTAATCTTATTAGATTCCCAATATATTAGCTATTTCTTCGAAGAATATTTCATATTAAAGAGAAACAGATTAAAGTTGTTTAATCTCTTTTTTTAAATCTGAAATCTAGTATGTCTCCTCTTATTATTTCAATTTAAATTTTGTAGTGGCACACAATACAACTTCAGAGATAAAACTTGAGAATGTTTAAAATGATTAATTTAATGCTTATATTGATGAAGAGCTAATAAAATCTAGTACATCAACCTATTAGCTTGAATTATTTTCAGTCTTAGTTAATTATTAAATGTATTATCTGGCAAGTTTATTTTCAAATACAATTTACTCTAAATACTATTATAATTCTAAATTTTATTATTCAATAGTATTGTTTATTTTAATAGCTTTCTCTAATGTTTTGATTGTTTCTTAATATAAATTTTACCAATACTCTAATTCAAAATCTAATTAAGTTAATTTTTAGTTGCTTATTAAAAATTATTGTTCTTTTAATTGATTATTAAAAAAGTATTCAATCATTTTTTCATATTCAAGAAAGTTAGTAATTTCTTGTTTGTAATTTTAGATTTATGATTGGAAATTGAAATTATGTATTGATTTACTTAAATTGTGAGTATTTGTTTATTTTTTTATAGATAATTATTAGGATTATTACAAATTCAATATCTCTTTTTATTATGCTTCAATAATTAAATATGCTTTTTGAATTGCATCATCCTTAATTTTTAATTATTTTGTTAGGGTGGCTATTTAAGTATTGATCATTTTACGTTAATTATTAATTTATAAATATTTTATGAACTAAAAAATTTTTTATAATAAACACAACAAAATTGAATAGAACTAAGAATTACATCTTAGTTCTAGAAATAGAGTACGATCAGCATTTTAAGACATTTCAAATATGAACTTTACATTTATAAATTAATAGGAGAAGTCTTTGAAATAATAAAAAGAGGAAATTAAAATTTAGAAGGGTAAAAGAAGAAATGCGATAATCCCCGTTAATATTGGAAGAATGCTCATATAAGTTGAAAATGCAGAGTTTCAACCGATCAATTATTAATTGAGATCTGGAAAAGAGACAGAGAAAGACATTCTAAGTTATTTTGATAAATTCCGATGTGAAATTTACTAATATGAATTAGTAATAGAATAATAAGTATGACAAAATTTAAAATTAGTTAAATAAATTGAATATTGATTAACATGATTTTACAGGAGAACAATTAGAAAGAGTTTTAGATTGGATGGTTTACAAGATGAAAAAATTCCGGAAAGTTACAATTGAGACAATTTTCAAAGCTATTGAATTAGTTTATTAATACTTATAGAACACAATACATTTAACATTTAAAGAATTGGAATTGATATCAGGTTGTAGCATTTACATTTCATCAAAACTTGTTGATTTGTATCCAATATATATAGATGATTTATGCTAAGAAGTAAATCTTTCTGAATGATATAGGTGTTACAATCAAAATATTATAACAGTGACATCTTATAATAAGAAAGAAAGATGTGCTAAATATTAAATTATAGTTTATGTTTCACAACTTCATCTTAATTAGTGCATAGAATATTAGTGGATTTAAGAGATTTAATAGAATAAATTTATGATAAAGAGAAAGTGGAATAATTGAGATAGAAAATCATAGATAATTTGTTATATATGGAAATAGGTTAAGAGTTTAGATAGATCTCATAGTGCAATAAGGCCTTGGCTTGTATTTTATTAACTATGATAGAAGAAAATATTGAGAGTAGAGTAGTAATTATTTGAATATTATTTAATGTGTTAAGCCGTGTTGTTGTGTGTGAATCATTTCAAGTTGAACATTAATTGGATTGAGAGACATATTGAAGATTTGAGAACATTCATATAGGCAAACAAACATTTAAATTTATTCAAGAAAATTCCAAATCAGAATTATTGAAATTTTATATGCCCCCATATATAAATTTATTATTTTAATTTAAAATGTCTTAACAATTTACAAAAGGTATAAATTGGGGATCAGCATTTAATGATGACAAATATTTAACACTGAAATAGATTTAGATCAATTTAATCAAATTACTACTTAAAAAAGTGATTAATTCAAGTACTTAAAAAAATGATATAGTATTATAATGATAACTGATGAATGTGGTGAATTGTATGGCTGTAATGATTAATTAGTGATAATATGGTATGTGAAGCGAGATTTTTATTCCTCATCAAGAACAAGTAAATATTTAAGTTAAAATAGAAAATCAAATAAGAAAAAAAAATATCCAATTAAGATTTAGATTAAGAAAAACTTGATAATTTAGGAGAAGAGCCAACATTTTAATAGAAATTATAAAATGAAATTGTAGATAAAGCAAAAATTGGATAAAGTTTTGTTGACTCTATACTTACAATTCATGATGTTCCTCTAATTGTGCCTAGGTAATTTGTATTTTTTTATTTAAAAGGGGACATTATACTATGGATTTCTTTAATAAGACATTCGGTCTCATGGAAATACTTATTACTGATTATAAAGGAATCTCAAGTTTATTTTTATTGCTTATGCCAGATTAATTTGTCACTTGTAATTAGACTTGAACATCCTTTTCGACAAGGATAAACTGCATACAATTATTTAGTTATGCTATTTAAAAAGGATTATGAAACTGATATTAAACTAAAATATTAGAGAAATATAGAGACAATAATTTGATGATATTGGTTGGAAATAAATTAAAGAGAATATTCAAGTACATTATATAATACAGTTTGTGAAATATTATTTGAAATAACAGGTTAAATTGTAACATCCAAAAATTTTAATACAAAAAATGGTTTAATTTGTCTTAGATGTTCTCATTCTGGATTTTTATTCCCATTAGAGAAATCATTAATCTATCTACAAAACCAGTTCTTCATATAAAACATGAAGAAATAAAAGAATTGATTTTGCAAAGAGTATATATTTTATGATGAATTTATAGATTGTATCAATAAATTTAAATAAGTTCTTTGATATTAAAATCATATATAAAAATTCAAATATAGTATAGAAAAGGATAAATTAGATGACTTAATATTTCTCAACCAAAAAGATCGCTGTTAGAAAATTAGAAGAAAAACTTCCTCGTTTTCAAGTGAATGACAGTGATGAGGATGATTGTTTAGATCATAAATTAATATAATTTATATATTTGAAGTAATTAAATCAAATAAGACCTAAATAATTTAAACTCAAATGAAGATGATGACGATTTTCAGAAGAAGATATTGATGATCAATCAAATGGGAGTGATGAGAATAATTAATATGACAATAATTCAAAAAAAGAAAAATGATAATATGAATAATTGTAAAATAAATATATCAATTTATTATAAATACTATATTATTCATATAATCATTTTACTATGCAAAAACAAAATATATGATAAATATATATTTATAATTGATGAATATTCAATCAATAGATCTTTATCTCCAAGAATTTACCATTCCTTAGATAAATACTCCTCCCATTCCAAAGAATGATGCCAAACTGTAATTAAACGATTTCCCATCAACGAAATTGTATTAGAAGGTGTCATTTATGAATACTCCTGCAAATAAGCACACATATCCTGTTAATATCAACAATGCCATCACATAAGCCAAAGCAGCTTGTTTCAAAAATGGTTATACCATTCCTGCAAGAAATCCTACTAACATCAAAACAAAGGCAGAGATTGCAAGGTTTAAATAAGTTCTATATTTATCATGGTCAGCTGTGCTAATATTCGTGATATATGAAAATTGAGTATAATCACCTCCATCATTCTCTTTCAAATAGGAAACCAAAGCTAAATTCACAACCACCACCAAAGACATAAATGTATTGCTTAAAAGAATTCTCATCTTTAAATCTCTAATATGTTATAACTATAATTAAATACAATCCCATTAGGCTGTTCTTGTTCTTTTTAATAAAAATAATAATAAAATAAATTTACTTTCATTCCTTTTAAACCATAATTTATTATACATTGTTCTTCAAAAGGGATGGTATTTAAGCTTAGTTTTCTTTGTTATGACCAAATTAAAATTAATTTTTCCAAAAAAAACTTGCAATTTAAGAAAACTTAAATTTTATGGAACATACGAATTACGTAATATTATAATATTGGACCAAATTTTAATTGTGTTGAGAGTTATCAGGAATTAATACTCTCAACTCTAAGGTAGCTAGAATTTTAAGAAAATTAATATTATAATGAATTCAAGTATTTATCAGACAGTACATTTAAACATTTCATTTTTAATTTCAAGAAAAAAGAAATAAAATTCTTAAAGTAAATATGAAAAAATAGATCTAAAAATTGTTTACTATAATATTAAGAGACATTTTAATTATGTTAAATAGTATCAAATTTTTATTTTATCTTAAATTTGTTTAGATTTGCTAGGACTTAATATGTATACATTTTTGACTTTTTCAGCTATTTTTTAGATTCTATTATTATTTAATCTTTATGTTGATATTTCTCTTATATCAGGTAGATTTGAAAGAGATTTNTAATATGAATAATTGTAAAATAAATATATCAATTTATTATAAATACTATATTATTCATATAATCATTTTACTATGCAAAAACAAAATATATGATAAATATATATTTATAATTGATGAATATTCAATCAATAGATCTTTATCTCCAAGAATTTACCATTCCTTAGATAAATACTCCTCCCATTCCAAAGAATGATGCCAAACTGTAATTAAACGATTTCCCATCAACGAAATTGTATTAGAAGGTGTCATTTATGAATACTCCTGCAAATAAGCACACATATCCTGTTAATATCAACAATGCCATCACATAAGCCAAAGCAGCTTGTTTCAAAAATGGTTATACCATTCCTGCAAGAAATCCTACTAACATCAAAACAAAGGCAGAGATTGCAAGGTTTAAATAAGTTCTATATTTATCATGGTCAGCTGTGCTAATATTCGTGATATATGAAAATTGAGTATAATCACCTCCATCATTCTCTTTCAAATAGGAAACCAAAGCTAAATTCACAACCACCACCAAAGACATAAATGTATTGCTTAAAAGAATTCTCATCTTTAAATCTCTAATATGTTATAACTATAATTAAATACAATCCCATTAGGCTGTTCTTGTTCTTTTTAATAAAAATAATAATAAAATAAATTTACTTTCATTCCTTTTAAACCATAATTTATTATACATTGTTCTTCAAAAGGGATGGTATTTAAGCTTAGTTTTCTTTGTTATGACCAAATTAAAATTAATTTTTCCAAAAAAAACTTGCAATTTAAGAAAACTTAAATTTTATGGAACATACGAATTACGTAATATTATAATATTGGACCAAATTTTAATTGTGTTGAGAGTTATCAGGAATTAATACTCTCAACTCTAAGGTAGCTAGAATTTTAAGAAAATTAATATTATAATGAATTCAAGTATTTATCAGACAGTACATTTAAACATTTCATTTTTAATTTCAAGAAAAAAGAAATAAAATTCTTAAAGTAAATATGAAAAAATAGATCTAAAAATTGTTTACTATAATATTAAGAGACATTTTAATTATGTTAAATAGTATCAAATTTTTATTTTATCTTAAATTTGTTTAGATTTGCTAGGACTTAATATGTATACATTTTTGACTTTTTCAGCTATTTTTTAGATTCTATTATTATTTAATCTTTATGTTGATATTTCTCTTATATCAGGTAGATTTGAAAGAGATTTAATATGATTAAAATTACGCGAAGTATATGTAGTTTTTAATTTGATAGGGGAAGAGCTATCTGTTTCTGTAAGGCTTAACAAATTTTAATATTGAAAATGAATTTATTTTTAGATTAGACCTACTGATTTAGTTTAGTTACTTAGTGAACGTTCATTAACATAATTTTAAATAGAAATAAATGTTTTTCTTTGTTTCCTACTGATATCTAATACTACTTTTTGAGAATCAAGAAATTTATTCTTTGATTTTTAATTTTTATTTAATTTAGGGGAAGTAGTCAAAGATTAAGAAAATCTTTTGAATTTATCCTAATATAACTATAATTTTTCAGAATTTTTAATATTATAAAATAACTCTTAGGATTCTTTTAAGCATCCAAATGACTTTTAAAATTATTTTGGAATGAAACTAGATTATTTTTCACCAAATTTAGAAGGACTTTAATCTATAGTTTCCTATTAAGTTGGATCTATTATGGTTTAAGATTTTAAATTATTTGAATGTTTAATCAAAATACTTGACATTCTTTTAAATATAGTTTTCTTCCTTATTTCATTTCTTTTTATTTCCTTTTATAAGAGATGAAAAGCTACATTGGTAATTGGATAAAGAAAAGCAAATCTAACCTTATAATATTAAATTAAAAATACTTATTTATCACTTAGAATTTCACAACCGCTACTTCTTCTTATCTTATTAATAAAATTTGGAAACTAAACTGCATCAATTTGGCTTTGACTCTTATGTAATTTATTTTATTTTTTTATTCTGAGTATACGATTTGAGAATTTTCCATATACAATATAAGATTTTTGTTTGGGAAATTAAAAATTTTCAGGGGTAAGTTTGGAATGTTAGCTTGAAAATGAAGATTTGAATTGATTGTCATTTGGAGACTTCAATACTTAGTTTTGAATATTGAAATTGAACTTTTCTAATTTAGACATTTGTAATACTCTATCTATTAATACTGCATTATGGTGATTCTAAATATATACTAGTATCCAAATTGAATTGATCTTCAGATATTTGAGTTTGAATAAATCTTTTATATTCTTTTGATGATAACATAATTATATTTATAAAATAAGATTCTTTTAATCAAGCTCCAAAGAGTTATGGTTTTGATTCAATATCTTCATAATCTGAGACATCTTCTTTTTAATTTGATTGATTATGAATTTTTTATTTTTAGTTTCTTTTTAATTATTGAGTTAATTTTTCAATTTATAACTACTATTGATTACATTACTCTTATAATTTATTGATTTTATCTTCCTATATTTTTTGATTAGTTGATTTCAGCACTTATAAATCATTCACTCTTTTTTTTAAGGCAACCATTTGTTTTTCTACTTCTAATCTACTTTCAATAAGCTTAATAATTATAGAATTGATAATTTACAATTTTAATTTCTTTTTCATATTGATTATTTTTTTCCATAAATCTTCTTCTTAATGTTTCACTCTCTACTAGTCTTTCACTTAAAATAGCATTTTCTTCTAAAATCTTACCCATTTTTTCTAACTTTCTCTCATTCTAAGAGACTTAATTCAATTTCTATTAATTTTAATGGATAATTCCTATTAAAAATCATTCCATACTTTCATAATCCTATCTTTTATCAATTTGTCCCCTCATCTAAAATTTTGTTTTAAATTCTTCATTCTCTTCTTCCAATTCTTCAAGTTTTTACTTTAAATTATCAACTTCAACTTTATTTGCTCTCTACATTTCTTAATATAATCCTTATAATTTAACTATTTATTAAGACATTTCTTCATTCTCTTTCTTTTCTTATTTCATTTCTTAATTCATTCCTCCTAATTCCCTTTTAGTTTTATTATATAGATCCTTAATAGTTTCACATTAAGATTGAAGAGATACTTTAACATTCCTTAAATTTTCTATTTCCTTCATTGCTGTTTCAAGCTTTTTATTTTATTGGTCAATATATTTATTTTATTAGGCTATGTCTATTTTTAAATTTTAATTCTAAACATTTACAGTTTCCAACTCTAATCCTAATTAATGACATTATTATCTTAGAGTTTCAACTATTTCTGATTCAATATTGGATTCTATTTACTTGAACTTTTAATTAATATGTGTATTAATTTCCTTTATACTAACTAGATTTGGCGAAGGCTAATCTTGTGTATAACACCATAATCCATCCTTTAGAAATTAAATTATATATTACTCCTGGTTATCCTCCAACTAAAACTTATCGAATAGCTGCTTATTAAAATGAAGAGTCCTTTCTTGAGGCTTGTGATTTTTTTGTAATTGTTGAAACTGATTAATCTACTTTTTTTGTTTATGTTGACGGTGGCTTTTGTTAATTCATTATAAAATTAATATGAAAAAATCACTTACTCCTACTTCTGAAACTAAATATAATTGTTCTCAAAAAATACATCTACTAAAATAAAAAAGAAACAAAGATATGTTAAATTAAGCTATTTAAGAATTGAAAAATCCATTTGATCCTTTATAAGTTTCTAAAGCAATAAAATTTCTAGAAAATCAAGTGCAAAGAAAGGCTTTATTAGATTAAATCATTTATATTAGAGAGTAAAAACGTAAAAAGGAAGAGTTTGATAAGATGTCTTCAATGAGAGGAATTCTTAATAAAGTTTCAAAAAGATTTTCAATTGTGAAAAATTAAGAAGTTAAATACACTAGAGATCATAATGATTTTAAAATTATGTAAGAGGAAAGGAATAAGTTTGACAAACTCTAATATGAAAATTTAAATATACAAGTAAATGAAAAAAGACCATAATTAAGAAGGTTATCTAGTTTAAGTTTCTTAACAAAAGAGACTGATTAGATAAAATTCTAAGTAGAATAAACTAATGATTAATAAACAATGTTCGTTCGAAGATAAACTTAAAGAAATGCAACACTTATGGTTAATGCAATTCTTAAAAAAGAGATGTATCTTAACTATAATTATTAAATTTTAGACCTGATAGTATAGGAAGATCTGAAAAAATGATAGGAAATAAAAAAATTAATAAGTTATTATCATAAGACTAAGTCATAGAATGAACAGTAAGAATTATTAAATGAATTTTCTAATTTATTATATCTAAATAGAAACATGAAAGTTTTTATTTTAAATCTTAGATCTAACTTTGAGTAGTTTATTATTATATAATTGAACTTCATTTTGAAATCAAACATAAATAAAACATTAATCTTCACAGATTAAATTCAATATTTTAGAATTCTTAATTAAATTTTTGTATAAGTGCTTTATCTTGTTATTAAGAATTCAAAGATTCTTTAATACAAATAATTATATACCTAAAGTTAAATCTTCAGGTTCAAAAAACTTTAGATCTAAAGGATCATTCAAATTTAATTTCCAAGTTTAATTTGTTTTTCTCATTATTTCTCCAAAATTAATATCTTTAAACCATTAATTTGCCTATAAATCTAAGAAGTCTCTTTTATATCCCAATCTTTCTTTTGGATCTTTTTTTAAGAGATTTGTTATAAAATCTTTACACTCAATAGATATAGCAATATTAGTTGAGAATCTCACTTCTCTTTCTTAAATAGACTCAAATACTTAACTTTAATTATCACAATAAAAGGGTGTTATACCAAATATCAATTCATATACTAATATTCCTAACATCCACCAATCTATCATTCTATTATAACCAACAGCAGTAATCATTTCAGGAGCTATATATTCAACAGATCCAGTAAAACTATAAGATAAATGATTGTTAGGCAATTATTTGCATAATCCCAAATCAGTTAAAGCAATATACCCCATAGAATCAATAAGAATATTTTCAGGTTTCAAATCACGATACACATAATCTCTATCATGCATATAACCTAAAGCCAAAATTAATTAGGCTACTATGAATTTAACTCTTTCTTCTTTTAATCTAGTTTCTTTTTTTAAATGAGTGTAGAGATCCCCTCCTTAATAAAATGGCAATACAAAAATTAATTAATCATCTGTTTCAAATGCTTATATTAATTTTATTATAAAAGGATGATCAAATATTTCTAATAGTTTTCTTTCATTTTAAGCATGATTTAAATGATCTGTAGTTATAACATCCTACTTTTACATTAATTTAAAGATATAATATTTTTCTGTCTTTATATTTTAAACAAGTATAACTTATCCTAACATTCCTTAATATAAATATTTTAAGAGTTTATATTATTGAGTGTAATCATAGTTTTTTCTAATTGATTACTTTTAATTATCTTCAGATGCTTTCATTGTTGAAAAATCATAATTTGCTAGAGTCTATGGATCTATATTGATAGGATGTCCATGCATTCTACATATACCTTTTTTAGCATCAACTTTTGTTGTAGTATATGGTATCAATGTTAAATCATCTGTAAGATAAATTGCCAAATTCTTTTTTACAAGTCTTTAATAAGAGTCAGAAAGTGTTGACAATATTTTTTCTCGACTATTCTAGATATTTAATTTCATACAAATCTAATGATGAATATCTATAATCATATTCATCTGGCACATGAATAACAAATTCGAATCCACATTTACTAATAGTGATACCAACTATATTTTATATTGCAATTTTTCTAAAGTATTGTTATTTCAATCATTACCTTTTCACTCTAACACTTGAAACAACTTTTGAAAAAAAATTTACAAGTGTGCTTTATGGTGTTATATTGTATATGTTCTTATTTGTTATTAACAATATTCTTTCTTATTACTTATTAATATGACTAAATTTCCATAAGCAAGTAGATAGTAATATGGATTCTATATAACATTTTTATATCTTACCACCAGTTTCTAAGATACTTAGAATTCTAGAATCCTTTCCACATTTTTCTCTATCCAATTTTTACGATTAATAGTTCATTTAATTAAACTATTTTTCAATTTTCTATATTATACTTATTCTAACATAAATTGAAAGGAAACACCAACACTTATATTAAACATGTATATAAGAATGTAGTAATGATTCAATAGCCATTAAAACAATTCATATACCTACCTTAATATATTTAATATCAATATTACTATTTTTCATGTAGTATTTAAATTTAAGTATAAGAGATTATAAATTGTTACACACATATAATATGATTTTTTCTAAGCTATAAGTTTAGATGTTGAATTTACAAAATTATGTAAATATGTTTTTATAATATAAAATAATATACCCCCATCTTATAGAATATAAATATAATGTTATTATGGTTATAATATTTCATTCAAACTCGATATTATCATTAGAATTTTCTGCTTTATTATCAGAATTCTTTTGATAAACTATCTAATATGGACTTTAAACACCAAGATGAACTCTTCTGATATAACAATAGAATCTATTTTTGACCATATTTTCCTATAGATAATCATATAAGAATACAGGCCTCCCTTAAAGATAAGAAGAAATAAGACTCCATTTTCCCCCATATTACTAATATAATTTGAAGAGGGTTGCATCTTCAATTTCAGTCCAAGGTCCAGTATTAATTTCAGGGTTGATTTTATTTATATAACGTTCTCTTATTTGTTTACTCAAAATATTTGGAAAGTCTAAGGCACTATAGTTAAATTAATTTTTACGTAAAGCGATTAATTTCCAATTTTTTCCATATTACTTGACTAATTCTAAGATTTTTTCATCTTCTTCTTAAGTCCATTGTTTTCTTTTAAACTACAAATATTTACAAATATAATTACAATCTTAACAGGTTGCAATCTTCTCCATCTTTAACTACATTATGAAACATTTCTTCCTGGCATATGTTTAACAATTTAATTCCATTTTCCATTATGCTTTTAATATTGGATACGTAATTGAGCATCTTCAGTGGAATCCCAAAGTTTTATTACTCTTTTCTAAAAAAAATAGAAATGGAAACTCACTCTTCGAGTAAAATTTTGTTCTTTTTAGGCATTTTATTCAATTTTATCTTGAATTTGTTACTAAAGTTTTCCATCTTTCAATACCATGAAATCCGAAGGCTATTGAGTAGATGGTATGCCACTAGAAGACTCAAAACTAATAATATAATAATGTATAGATACTCGAATGATTCAATATAGTTTTGGTTGTCTAATTGAAGGTATTAATCAGTTTCAATAATATCATTTTTTAGGACTTGATCTAATGTATTCTTATATGATATAGGTTATATAGACATAGTTTGAGCTCGTTATTAGATAAATATATTAGTTTTATCGAGTTTTTCACGATTAGAAAAGCAAGAAATTGATTAAAAGAAATTAAGCATAATAAATAAAATATTTTCATATTTCTGCTTAAACAGAGGTTATATGGTCTCTTATTTCATCTATGAAATCTCCATTATCATAATTTATATATCCCCAGCTGAAAATTTTATGGAAAACTTATCACTAATCTTTTTTTTATAAAATAAAATATAAAAAAATAATTAGATTCATTAAAATCTTCTTTATTTCCCTCTTTAATTTTATATATATCCTTCTCTGCACAAATGGAGTTTTTGAGTATTCTCATTTTCAATAACCGTATTTTAAATTTGATTTTATGCATTTTATTTTATAATATATTTTCAATTTTTTGGTTTTAAATCTTTTTTATTTTATTTTCAAGATATTTATTAATATAAATTGCATTTAATATTTTATAATTTCCTTGTAGAGGATTCAATATAATTTATCATAGTGAGAATGTCTAAAATTAAAAATGGTTGTTAAGGTATTTTGTATTCTAAACTGTACTATATATTCTGGGTAGCTATTTCTCTATTTTTAATCTTTAATAAGGTATTAATACATATTCATTAGATTGTATATTCTCAAAATAACCAGGTACATGAGTGAGATTATATTATTAATTTATGAAACACTCTTAAGTAATTGTATTCTGACTAGAATCATATTCTGNTCTTCTTCTTAAGTCCATTGTTTTCTTTTAAACTACAAATATTTACAAATATAATTACAATCTTAACAGGTTGCAATCTTCTCCATCTTTAACTACATTATGAAACATTTCTTCCTGGCATATGTTTAACAATTTAATTCCATTTTCCATTATGCTTTTAATATTGGATACGTAATTGAGCATCTTCAGTGGAATCCCAAAGTTTTATTACTCTTTTCTAAAAAAAATAGAAATGGAAACTCACTCTTCGAGTAAAATTTTGTTCTTTTTAGGCATTTTATTCAATTTTATCTTGAATTTGTTACTAAAGTTTTCCATCTTTCAATACCATGAAATCCGAAGGCTATTGAGTAGATGGTATGCCACTAGAAGACTCAAAACTAATAATATAATAATGTATAGATACTCGAATGATTCAATATAGTTTTGGTTGTCTAATTGAAGGTATTAATCAGTTTCAATAATATCATTTTTTAGGACTTGATCTAATGTATTCTTATATGATATAGGTTATATAGACATAGTTTGAGCTCGTTATTAGATAAATATATTAGTTTTATCGAGTTTTTCACGATTAGAAAAGCAAGAAATTGATTAAAAGAAATTAAGCATAATAAATAAAATATTTTCATATTTCTGCTTAAACAGAGGTTATATGGTCTCTTATTTCATCTATGAAATCTCCATTATCATAATTTATATATCCCCAGCTGAAAATTTTATGGAAAACTTATCACTAATCTTTTTTTTATAAAATAAAATATAAAAAAATAATTAGATTCATTAAAATCTTCTTTATTTCCCTCTTTAATTTTATATATATCCTTCTCTGCACAAATGGAGTTTTTGAGTATTCTCATTTTCAATAACCGTATTTTAAATTTGATTTTATGCATTTTATTTTATAATATATTTTCAATTTTTTGGTTTTAAATCTTTTTTATTTTATTTTCAAGATATTTATTAATATAAATTGCATTTAATATTTTATAATTTCCTTGTAGAGGATTCAATATAATTTATCATAGTGAGAATGTCTAAAATTAAAAATGGTTGTTAAGGTATTTTGTATTCTAAACTGTACTATATATTCTGGGTAGCTATTTCTCTATTTTTAATCTTTAATAAGGTATTAATACATATTCATTAGATTGTATATTCTCAAAATAACCAGGTACATGAGTGAGATTATATTATTAATTTATGAAACACTCTTAAGTAATTGTATTCTGACTAGAATCATATTCTGTGATAATTCTTATTCATTTTTAATAAATAAAAAAATATTTGTTTAATTATATAAAATATATAATTAACGTCATTAAAACTTATTTAGATAGATAATAATTAATTTTTCATCTTTTATTTTCAAAAATGATTTTAGAAAGATATTAATAAATTTGTTTCATAATTTAAATTAAAGAAAAATGCACAAATAATGTTTTATAATTAATTAGAAAAAAATGAATTATTTGTATGTAGATAAAATTAGAAATATAAAGAATTAGATTTCCTATATAGATATATTAAATGGTTAAGTATTAAATTTAAATAACTTTTTATGTTTTAAATGATCTCATTTTATAATGATTTGAATTAAATTAATGAAGATTTATCTTATCTCTTAATTTAATTATTTTTATATTATTAGACTAATACATTGTTTGCAGACATGCATATTTAAATTAGTTCCTTGATATAAGCAAAATTATAATTGATATAATATATTATCTTATTATATCTTTTTGGTTAGGTTAATCTTTTAATTATGATAGTTCATCTTAAACTTTCCATTCTAGAATAAGATGATAAAATATCTTAATTTATTCTTAGCCGTTCTGTATATAATTATTTATTCTCTGTTCGAATAGTTTCTACTATTTAGAATTTTTCTAATTCTGGCACCTAAAATGTTTCTATTTCTCTAAAATTCTAAATTCTAAATTATGAATGATTAACAAGCAAATTTAATTATATTTGATTAAGATTAAATTATAAATTTTTATAATAGAAAATCCAATCTAATAATAGTGATTCAATTCTTTTACCATAGATTTCTTTTCATTGATGGATTTTCAAACTCCTCTTATATCTTGGTTTAATAATATTAATTCTAAATTCCAAAATATAAATTTGTGCTAATTGGATAATGTATTTTTATTTCGTATATATTTGATATACTTAATAACTCTTTCAATATAGAATATATTAATCAATCTACAAATAGATAAGTCTCCAAAACTGAAATAATTCTATAATTTATTTTGATTGAGATATTAATAATAATAATAATATAGATAAACATCAAATCTATTAAAACAATCATAATCAATTTTATAAACTACTACTTCTAAGTAAAGGAGATGTTAATAACTTTTTACTTTTTAAACTTGCATAACTTTTACAAACTTTTTTCATTTTATATTAATCATCATCCGAATCTTCATCACTTGATTCATCATCATCATCTTCATCACTACTAGATTCTGATTTTGTAGTTCTAAGCATTTACTTTTCTAATTCAGATGGATCCTCTGGATTAACAAAATCTAAGACTATTGATCCTTTCTTATCAAAAATATATAAGGAGAGTGTAAATATAATTCCAAAAAAAGAGATTCCTGAAAAGAAGAATCCTACATTAGAATATCCAATTTCAGGATTCTCAGATATCTCAACAATATATCCTGCTATAATAGGAAAGAAAGCCAAAGCAATACTCTCAAACATTCCTAATAAACCAAATGCTGTTCCTACCACTTTTTATGCAACTATATATTATATAGAAGGAATTAAAACACATGAATATAAAGCATAATTGGATCCTAATAACATCAAAGGTATAACAGAAAACCAATTAGGTTATCCATGTTTACCATTTGGCATTATTCCAAATGCAAAATGAGTTAGAGTGAATAGAATACAAGTTATTAAAATTATTTTTCTTCTTTTTCCTACTTTATCTATATATGGCCCAAAAAAGGGACTTGTTATAGCTAAATTATCTCAAGAATACCTGCCATTAAATATGGTATAGTCAATACTTTTCCTGCTTACACATTTGTGAATTCAAATTTTTCCTATAAAAAATCATTAGCATCATCGAGAAATGGAATATATGATCCCAATGTTAAAGTACAAATTAGAACTAAGATCCAGAATGTTCCATTTAAATTTTTAATATCTTTAAATGATACTCTTTCAATATCATCTTTCTATTCTTCATTTTCATCTTCTTATTCTTCAATTATAAATTAACCCTCTTTTTATTATAAATATATACTCAATTTATTAAGTTCATTTTTTTTATCTAAAATACATAAAACAACTGCAGACACAAATGAAAATATACACAAAATCACACTAAAAAATAATGGATATGTTAATCCTTTATATGATTCATATATTATAGGAGTAAGAAAAGAATTAGCGGCACTAGCTAATTCAGGTACTGTCATGATATAACCAATTGCCTAAAATATAGATTTGAATTATCAAATACAGTTGATAGCTCTTTTCCTCTAAACCACTTACCAATAATAGCTGCTTATGCTATTACTAAATTTTCTGATGCACATCCAAATATTATTCTTCCCACTAACATAATCCAGAATATCTTAAATGCTCCTCCCAATGCTACAATTGTTTAAGCCACTACTATTATTGCACTAAATAGAATGATTCCAAATCTAACACCTAAAAATGAGTTAGAAACTATACCCAAAAAATCTATGATTAATCCTCCAATCAAAGTTAAAAAAATATTAGGAAATGAAAATGCAGAATATAATAGGTTATAATTTGAGATTGATATGTCTAAATCTTATGTTAATTATTTTTGAAGTGCTTATGGATTATCAAATGAATAATTATTTCCAAACATTAACAAACATCCAAGAACCATTATTATATATTTTAATTTAGATTACTACGGTTCATTATCTTTGTCTTCTTCATCATTCATCTGACTTTCCTTTAAGATAGTTTTATTGATATCATTAACTTTCATTACACACTTTAATTATTGATATAATAATAATCTTAAATATCTCAAATTTTTTAGATAATATAATATTGCAATGTTAAACTAAAATCAAATTATAATTAATAATTTATGCATTTAAGTCCTTCTATTTAAAAACGGGACTCTCCAAATGAAATTCTAAAAGCAAGAATGGAAAAAAAACCAAGTGGACGATTTACATTTCTTAAAACTCAATAAGAAGATCCTCATTAATAATAGGTTTAAAATAACCGAGATCGCATAAAATCTAATTTAAAGGGTATTGAATTTTAATAATGAGTAGGTTAGATTCTGCACATTTTAAATAAACCTCTACCTGTTACAAAAGATCAAATTGAAGAATTACTAGACTTAGGTAAAAAATTAGATATAGAAATTAATACAATTGACTCTGAATTTATATGTCCTAATACAAAAGAATTTCATGAAAATTATGACATTTTAGAAGTATTAGGAGAAGGATGTTTAGGATTAGTAAAAAGGATTGTTCATAAAACTACTTAAGATTTATATGCTGTAAAAATAGTACAAACTCAAGATGATGAAATAATTAGAAATGTAAAATTGAATTGAATTTTAGATGATCATTGAATTTAAGAGATTAATTAAATTATCACATGAAAATATTGTTAAAGTTCATAAATTATATGTTGATTTTGATAACAGCTTCTAATCTGAAAGTAAAGCTTATGTTGTGATGTAATTGATTGAAGGATAGGAGATGTTTGAAGTATTAAATTCTTTGGGACATTATTGTGAAGCTGATGCTAAAGAAATATTTAAATAATTGTTAAGTGCAATTGAATATATGCATAGAAATGGAATCTGTCATAGAGATTTAAAACCAAATAATATTCTTTGTGTAAATAGTACTAATCATTTTGTTATTAGATAAAAAGTAAATCAAAGTGACTGACTTTAATGTTAGCAAATTTAGTGATTCATATAAAGAATTTGGAGATCTAAAAGATAGAGAGAAAATTGAAATGTGGACATATACTGGAACAGTTGCATTTTCTGCTCCTGAAATTTTCACAGGAGAAGGATACAAGTAATTTTATTGTGTATAAAATATTAGTTAAATGGTTGATATGTGGAGTGCAGGTTGTATTTTATATTCAATGTTATCAGGATAATTACCATTCAATGCAGATTAGTATATATTTATATATATAATATTAGTCTCAATGATTTAATAGATAATATAAAAGAAGCTAAGATAAGTTTCCCAATTGAATTATTTGAAGGAGTTTCTGAAGAAGCTAAAGATCTAATCACTCAATTATTATAAAAAGATTGGGCTTTAAGACCTCATCCTGATTAAGCATTAAAACATGAATGGTTTAATGAAGATTAAAAATTATTAGAAAGCCAAAGGAGTCTATTAAAGAGATTAAATCATAGGAAGAATGATCCTAGATTAATTCTAAAATAAAGACACAATAAAAGATAATAATCAATTTTGTTAGGTTCTTAATAATTGATAATTAATCTTCATTCTATGGAATTACAATAGGAGACTCGTTTATAAGAGACTTAATAATAAATATCAAACATGGGTTCTATGAGATTAGAATCCTGTCCAAAAAAGAGTTAATTCAGTTTTACTGCTTATAAAGTACCTGAAAGTGAACTCAGTATTTATTAATATTTGCCTCCTTCTTCACCAGATAAAGAAATAGAGAAAGTAGGATCTTTTGAATCTGGAATGCTGGATCCCTTTATGTAATGTTCAGGTAGATTATTTGGAGATGATAAAATAAAGAATCTCGAAGATAATTCTGATTAAGCTTGTTGATATTATAAACCAGAAAATAAACTATAAATATATTTACTAATTTAATTTTATAATACGCAACATCGAAATCTCAAATTAATTTATATTATAAAATATCTTTAATTTTCCTAGGTTCAAAACTAACCCATATATCCTGTATTTTTGATTAATAAAATCATCCATAAAATTAACATGACACTTTTTGAATAATTAGGAGGAGAAGCTGCCGTCACAGCAGTCACAGCATAATTCTATGCTAATATCCAAGCTGATGCCACAGTTGCCAATTTCTTCAAAGGAATTAATATGGCTGACTAAACAAGCAAGACAGCTTCATTTTTATGTGCTGCTCTTGGAGGACCAAAAGCTTGGGGAGGCAGAGTAAAAAATTAAATTTATATAAAATTAGAACTTGAAAGAAGTCCATGCCAATATGGGAGTCACAAATGCCCAATTCACAACAGTCATTGGACATTTAAGAAGTGCATTGACTTCAGCTGGTGTCGCTGCTAATTTGGTTGAATAAACTGTCGCTGTTGCTGAAACAGTTAGAGGAGATGTTGTCACCGCTTGATAATTATCATATATCATAAACACATATCCAACAGCTTATATCTCTAATTAATTTTTCTGTTTTATTGTAAATCAACTCCAAACTAAATAATCAACATGTTTACTATTTTATTCTAAGAAATGCCCTACCATCTTATTTATGCTATTTTCATGACATGATGCCATCTCTTAACATATTTTTATCATGTATATAGAGTTTCCAATTTATTAAGAGTGATTTCATAAAGAAATGGGAAAAACGTAAATAATATCTAAGATTATAAAAATTATATAGCATCAGAAACTTCATTCATGATATCTATCTATCGTTGAGAAACAATCTTAATTTATTAATATATGGGTATTAAACATTTTAGATGCTGCTTGATTTACAATTTTCTAGAAATCAGATAAATTGAAAGATTAACTTAGATAGAAAGATATTCTTATTTGGACTCCTTAGATATACATATTAGAATTCCTCATTTAGATATTGAAAATAGTATACACAGTATTATTTGGAAGATATTCGTAGTGATGATTTTTCACAAATTATTTTCGAATATATTATAATATTACAAAATGACATGTGTATAAATTATAATAGATTTTGACAATTTATATATTTGGAGATCTGAATAGGTCTGATAATAGTATATGTTCAGTAAATATATACATATGTTTACATTTGAATTAAATTCTATTAGATATATCTGTATTTAATTTCTTAGGCAATCTCAATATTATTTAATCTAAAATTACAGAAATAAACCATTATATTTATTATATAAAATAATTTACTTGATGGATAAAATAGACTTATATGATATGAGAAAGAAGCTTCATGCATATAAAAAGATTGGAAAAAAACAAGTCATTAGTATTCTTAATCAATTAGAGGATTAAAAGATAGATTAAAAGTATTCTTACTGATTTAATTAGGGCTCTTGCTGAGTCTAAGATTCATAAAACTGTAAAGAAACTTACTTAAATAGAAATAATAGGAGATTCAGTTTTCAGTGAACAAGATCTCAAGCAAATTTAAGAAAAAGCTACAGAAACATTATAAAAATTGAAGAAAAATTAAAAATCTACACCACAAGAAAAAGTAACTCTGATCTCTGTAACAACAGACAGAAAATAATCTATAGATGTTCCAAATCAAAATCAAATTAATCAAAATCAATTTATGAATTAATTGGGACTACCTTAAGATCTTGATCAAATAAGATCGAAAGTTTTATAGAATATTATTCAGAGATTTACTAATGAAACTACTCCCTAATAAGAAGTCATAACATTTTGTAAGAAATTAGAAAATGAAGTATTTCATATAAGTTTATTTCAGATTAGAATGAAGTTTAAAGATAAAGGAAGCCAATATTAAACAGCCATAAAAGAAATTTTGAAATACTTATAAAATGATAAAGATGGAAGTGTTCGTAATAGATTATTAACAGGATTAATTGATATACCTACAGCAGCTTAATTGAGATCAGAGGATTGGACGAGTGCAACAGTATTTTATATATATATTAAATTTTTTATAGAGATTGTCTATTGCTGGAGGAGTTGGTAGAGAAATATTATCAGCTAATGATATGAATCATAATAAATATATAGCTTAAGTAATAAATAAGGATGTAGCATTGGCTTTATGTAATAATTGTGGATAAAAATAAATGAAATTAGTCAATGAAATATAAACAAGAGCAAGTGATGAACCCTCTACTAAATTTTATGAATGTTTAAATTGTGGAATTGGAGAAACTACTAATGGTTGATTTTATAAGATATTGAATATAAATATAGTAATACACTTAACCATTCACATTTATAATATTAATAATGCATAGTGCAACGTAAGAAGAATTAAAATCAAGAGCAAAATAAAATGAGATTTCATCTGGAGAAGAAGAGTTGTTATCAGATTCTGGAGATGAATGTGATCCTGAAAATTACAATTTTTATATGTCTTAAATTGATTTTGCAGCTTTAGCTAATGGGATTGGCTAAGATGATTAAAAAGGATAGGAAATAAATTTAAGAGAAAGAGTGAGCACACAATAATTGAGATAAGAAGTCAATCAAGTAAATTAACATATTAGTGGCAATCATTAAAATATAACGAGTGTTCCTAATCCAATCAAATTACTGGTTTCAAAATAGAAAAGAAGATACAATTATAATGGATTTAATTTAGATTTAACATGTATTCTATAATAATTATTTTAGATATAACTGAAAAGATTATAGCTATGGGTTTTCCTGCTGAAAATATAGAATCTATTTACAGAAATTCAATGTAAGATGTTAGAAGATTTTTTGATTCTGTTCATCCAGGACATTATAAAGTATACAATCTTTGTGAAGAAAGAAAATATGATCATTCAAATTTTAATTAAGTAGCTGAATTTCCATTCCAGGATCATTAAGCACCTACTTTCTCTCTCATTTATGAATTCTGTCTTGATTTAGTATTAATACTTATGATATAATAAGGATAATTGGTTAAAAACACACGAAAAAAATGTTGCAGGCATTCATTGTAAAGCTGGAAAAGTAAATACATAATTTTACAACTTAAGGGACGTACAGGTGTCATGATATGTTGTTATATGCTTTATGCAAAATAATTCACCAATGCTTATGATTCTATGAGATATTATGGTATGATAAGAACCAAAAATAAAAAAGTAATCTTTTATTTAATTCTAAAGGGAGTCACTATCCCATCTCAAATTAGATATATCTTTTATTTTGAAAAAGCTCTCAATAATAAATGGGTTCCTGACAATATGCCCAATAAACAAGTTGAATTAGTGAAAATCCGATTGATTCCAGTACCAAATGTTAAATTCTTTGGAGGTTGTGCCCCTTGGTTTAGAATCTAAAATAAAGATAAAGAATACAATTCTAAAAATTAATTCCCTGTTAAAGAATATAAATTAGAACCATATATTGAATTCAAACTCAAAGATATTATTCTATAAGGTGATGTTCTTTTACAATTTCTAAATTAAGGAATTTGGTCTAGGTATATATATATATATAATATTAAATTTTGAAGGAGTGAGAAACTCTTTCAAGCTTGGTTTAATTGTGATTTCTTTGATTATACAGGTGTTCTCATGATTGATAAATTTATGTTGGATAAAGCTTGCAAAGTATAATTTTATTTTCATATAGGACAAATCTGGTAAAACATTCCAAAAAGATTTTCGTATAGAATTACATGTAGTTGAAGTTAATTAGGATAATAAATCACTATAATCACTTTATAATAATACAATTAATTAAATTACTCATAAAAATTTTGGATTTTGATCATTATATTTATTTCAATAAATAAAACTAAAATGAATAACTCTTAATCTACATATAGTAACAACTCAAGATTTGTATCTTCTAATAGAGATCCACTTCAAAGATATAAAGAAAGTTTGAAAGAAAAATTCAAACTAATGTATGATTAGATTGAAGAACAAAAATTTACAAATCCATTTGTTCCTCATGAAGGAACAATATTTCTTACTGAATAATAATCCTTAAGATCTTTCTTAAATTCAACTTAAAAATTAGTTGAACTTTCTCAATTTCAAGATGATTAAATCTCTATAAAAAAGAATAATGAAATAATACCTCTAAATGCAGAACCATTTAATTCAACTATTAAGAAAATAAGACAGAGAATATTTGATCCTCTTCATTTTACACATCCTCTTATAATAAGTTTAGTTAAAACATCTTATTAACCAAATACTCTATAATAAAATCATGAAGATAAGATTTGTTAAACAAGTTTTAAAGAAGATAAATTATATAATTAACATCCGATTCAATCTATATAAATTGAAAAACCAAAATCATCAATAGGAATTTAAGTAAATTAAACAATAGAACATGTAGAGTAAGAAAACGTATCAGTTTAATACAGTTATAATAAAGATTTAAATTTATCTTAAAATCAAAGTTTTCAATCATATATAGATAGATACTATGATTATTAATAATAAGAATAATGTTTTGATAGAAAACAAAATAAATCAGAATTAAAATTTTAGAATTAAAATGATGACTATTTCTATATCTTTTGTTCAGAATGTTAATAATTTGTAAGAATGTATAAAAACAATAACAATTAATTCCATCAAAGACATTGTAAGACTTTAAAATATGAAAATACTTTTTCTGAATTTTTAGGAAAATTTAAATACTTATTAAATTAAGAAACTAATTAATTAAGAGATTATGATGATAAATGTATAAAAATAAGAAAATATTGTCATGTAGCATCAGAAATTTGTACTATGTTATAGAAATCTTCTTGCAATAAGAGAATTAATTAATTGAAATTAGATTTAATTAAAATCCATAATGAAGTTTATAAACTACATGATATCCATTCTATGAAAATCTATTAATTATTTCAATAAATGAAGATTTAAGTGATAGTTTGATTTTTAAGATTCATCTATTAGTAGAATGATATAGAATCAATTTTTTTTAATATTTTATCATAATTAAACATAGCCAAAAATAATCCAAAAATAAATAATGAAGCAATTACTTAGCCTCCCTTATTTTACTCTTTTGATGATGTTTCTTTCTTTATTGTAAATATTATCAAAATATAAAAATTATTTTATTGGATCAATAGTTACTTATTTAGTTAGTAATTCTGTATATCATATTCTTTATTCGAAATTAAATTACTTATTTGTACTTTCTCCTTTTTCTTTTGTTTTCTCAACAACCAATTATACATTTAAATTTTTTGCTTCATTTTTTTCAAATTCAAAGTAGTTCTAAAACCTAAGTGTCTTCCTTAATATTATTCTAATTAATAAATAAACCAAATAATATCCAAATAATTGAAAACTTTAAAATATTTAATGTAATATAAATTTTTCTCAGCTTAAGTAAATTCGCCATCAAAAAATAATTATCCTATTAATCTAAAATGGTCAAACCATTTTTCGTCAATATTTAAACCAAAAAATTATTCATCTTCTATCTCTTATTCCTTTTCTTTTACACAATATTGTTTCTCATCATAAATTTAACTAACTAATTTCTTATAGAACTATTAGAAAACCTCTTTTTCTTTTTCTTTTTCTATTTATTATTATTATTATTATTATTATTATCCTTTTGGCTCCTCCATAGGTACTCTCTTTATAGAGAAATTTAACTGTTTATTACAAAAAGAGCTTGCCTCATCAAATGATTTTTAATGGAATTTTAAATTAATTTAGCATAACTACAAAACCTTTTGCTTTTGTTTAAATGAAAATAATATAATCGATAAAATAAGAAGGATCTTCTTATATTTCTATAGAGAAGAAACTATTTTCTGATATCTCGATATATTCAATATATAGATTGTTTGATCCCAATAGTTTCATTTCAATTTGATTAACGTTTAAATCTTAATTATATTCCTTAAGAATTCTAATAAAACCACTACATATGATTGCATTCTATGCTATTGCATTGACTAGTATTGCCAATCAGAATATTATATTTATCATAAATATATATTATTTTAAATTCAATAAAAATAGTATATTGAATCAGAGCTAGCGAAGATATGTTCATCATAATAAGCAGATGTCCCTATCAAATTTCATCATCTTAATTATTTAATGATTTAATACTTCAATTAATATACCTTTTCCATATATAAAATTTATGGGATAATATATTAATTTATGCAGAAAACTCCTTAAAGGGGTAGAATAAACTTATTCAATCACTTACTTCAAAGAAGAAGTTTAAGTTCTAAGTAGAAGACAAAGCGACTTAATGGAATATATATTGAAGGTATTAGAGCTCCCTTAGATTAAAGAATTCAAAAAGCCAAACAAAATAAACTTCAAATTAAGACTGAATATTTAGACTATTTTGTTTTTGAGACTAACGAAACTACAATCATGCCTCAAACTAAAATGAGTTCATAAAGATAACCTGCTATTTATAATTTACAATTCACAATTAATAAACAATTAGCTAAATAAAAAAGGATTATTAGATAACCCTGCGATTCATTTTATACAATATAAATTTATTCAAAATCTTTAGATAAATCTGAAGGTAGATAATTTAAGTGAGAATAATATGTAGATAACTTAAGTGAGAATAATATATATATAACTATATATTTTTAAAAATTACATAAAAGTATTTCTAAGAAAATATATGCATTATTAAATAGTTGAAAATAATTCATTCTGATATTATTATCTTAAATATCTAGATATTTTAGAGTTTAACAATCAATTTAAATATAAAATTTTCGATAATAAAATGAAGAGATTATTCTTATCATTTTTAGCATAAAATTATTATACAAGTGAATTTTAAATAAATAGGTAATTAATATAAATATTTAGTACTAGTTAAAAATATACAAATAACTTTTAAATCACATTAGTATGCAATAATTTAATTTACTATATTTCTCACATTCATGATCATCTTTCATTCTATGTTTTAAACATACTAGCCTTTTACATGAAGTACAATGAAATTTATTAAGATCATTTAATGTAATTTTGCATTGTGGACACCTTGATTTTTCTACATTAATCTTTTAACAGACATGCTACTTCAAAACATCAATTTCAAATTAAGTTGAAAGATAATTTATAACTTAATTGCATTAATTACATTTAAGAGCTTTCCTTTCTGCAAATTAAAATGGGCATTCATGTTCTTTTAATTCCTTATGTTCAAGACAAAATTTTTTATTGCATAATGTACATTTAAACGGTAAGAAATCTCTTCTTTTACAATATTCTACATCACATCTTTCCATTTGATCATCTAGATTCATCTATGTTTTTGACAATAATTTATGTTAATTAAAAGTATTTTTAATTTAAATTAAATTCTAGAAGCAGAAGAAAATTAAATGAACTAAAATCAAAACTTTTTTATATCAATCAAATTTAAAGAATAAAAGGTTGACTTGATAGAAGTACAAGATAAAACTGATGCTGCTTAATTAGCCATAGAATTTTGTTAACAACACCCAGAATATTTGGAATATCGATACCGATTGATGAAAGTAATTGAAGCTATAATTTTACTTCATAAATTTAAATGAATTAAGTTGAGATCATTAATTTTTCTTCTTAACCTTTTTCATAGGACACATGGAACCTTTAGGATGCCTTCCTATGACACCACATGAAGGACAGAGTTTATCTTTTTTTTCTTCTTAATTAGAATCTACTTAAGAAATTATTGTTTTAGTACTAATATTACATACTTCTTCATAATGTCCAAACTAATTGCATTTCTTGCATTATATTTTTCTCATTAAGAAGCCCTATTTTGATTTTGAATTATTTATATTTGTTTATTATGATTCTCTATTTTGATTTTTCCATTCAGTCTTCAAACCTTCAGAACATTCAGGATATAGACATAGTGATTGAGATTTTTATTATTATAAAGTTGAATTTTCAGAATATTCAGTTTGAAATAAATTGGAATTACATTTTTTACATTTTTTATCTATCCTCTATATAGATTTAATATAATCAGGTAAGAATATTGCTTAATTGCATTAAGGATAACCAAGGCAACCAAAAAAATAAGAATTCTTTAATTTAGATTATCTAATTTTCATTTAATTTTTACACTAATTGCATTAGAAAGTTTCTTCATTATTGGATGTTTTAAAAGATTTTGATTGAAAGTTAGAAGTAGTATTATTTTAAGATTTTTATTCAAAGTTATTTATACTATTAAAATTTTAAGATTTTTCTTAACCTAAACAACATTTTAAACAAATTTCAAGAATTTAACCATTGATTTATTTAATTTCAACTAATTATGTTCCACATCTATTACATTATTACGAATAATTTTATTATTATTATTATTATTATTACTATTATTACTATTGTTATTGCTATTATTGTTGTTATTTTTTTGGTATTTTTTTATTTTTTTTTTATTATGAATTTTATTATTAATTTAAGTCTCTATTTTATGTATTATCATCATCATTATTTTCATCATAATCTTTTAATGCTTCTATATACTAACCAAATGTAGATAATATTTAATTTCTTTTTCCTTAAAGTTCTTTTAGAATTACACTCATTTCAGTAATTGTTGCTTCTACTATTTCTTTTTTTTATTTTGTTCCCTAAGCTACTTCATTCATTCTTTATTCCATAACAGCTCTTAGGTGTGGTTAATGCAATGTAAAGCCTAGTATTTCATAGGATTCAACTAATGCTAACCCAAGTTTAGTTGGTTTTATAGTTTAACCTTTTTTAATTGCATATTCTCTTTCTTAAATAGTATTAATATGTTCATGAATAGTAGCATCAGTTCCTATACCATTTTTATCCATCATACCAATTAATTCAGATTCAGTCAAAGGCTTAGGAGGAGATGTTTTACCATTTTGAATCTTTAATTTAATTTAAACCATATCTCCTTTGTTATAATTTGGAACTTAAGATTATGACCATTCATCATAAGGATAAATTTCTAAATAATTTTTTTCAATTATAACCAAGCCTTGTTTATAAAAGGATTCTTCTTATACTTATAGATTAAGTGTAGTTTCAGACCCTTTAGCATTTTTAGAACAACATGCTAAGAAATGTCTTGTAATTAATTAATAAATTTCCCATTCTTATTCTGTTTATGCATCTGATTAACGCATCATTTTAACAGGATGTATAGGAGGATGAGCTTTATCATCTTTATTACCAGCTCTTGGTTAATCAAAGTTATGATTAATTAAACTTTATGCAAATTCTCCCCATACAGGATGATTAATTTGATCTCTAATAATATTTTATAAGTTAATAGTTGGTGGAAATTTATTGGTTTCAGTTCTTGGATAACTAATAAAACCTCTATTATATAATTTCTCAGCTAATTCCATAGCTTTATGAGCAGATATTTTTAATTTTTTTGAAGCCAATTTTTCAAATTCAATAGTTGATAAAGGATAAGGTTTCCATTTTTAAACTTCTTTTTATTAAACATCAATTATCTTTGCTTATTCTGTAAAACATCTTTCAAATAATATTAATACAATCATTTCATCAAAAATATTCCCTCTACTCCAATTAAATACACATCCAGTTTAATCTTCACATTATATAAACCAAAACTTTTCTTTCACAAATGAATCAATCTCTTTTTATCTTTATACAACAAATCCTAATGTAGGAATTTAACATGGACCATAACTAATAATAGATGATAAATTAAATTGCTATTATAATAACAGAGTTTGAAATCTAGTAAATGATGCTCCTATTCTAAGATCTATTTCTTATCTAGCAAGTACAGAATTAGATAAATTTGCATCTGGCTATTTTAAATTATCTAAAGCCTATAATATTATATTATGATTATAATCTACTTTCTTAATATCAACATAAGTGACTGCTGAAAAATGAGCTCTGTATACTTAAATTTATGGATTTGAATCTTTGCAAACCTCCAGAACTTCAAATGCAATATTTTCACCTTCTCTATCGCAATCTAACCACAGAATTAATTGACTACATTCCTTTGCAAATGCTTATAAATTCCCTTCCAAAAATCCTATTTTTAGTATCTTACAATACTCTTATCATTAGGAATTATATTTTCAATTTCTGCATCTTTTAATATAATGAGAGGATCCCATTGATCCCATTTCTAATATTTCTTTGGGTATCTCAAACTCTTTAAATGCCCTGTAACAGATGTAATCCACATCTCAGCTTCCTAATCTCCAAACTTATAATTGAATTTGAATAATTTGTTATATGGAGATTAAGTTTCTTCTACTGTATGATCACGAGCAAGCACGTTTGCAATCGACCTGGCTACAGATGGTTTCTCTGCCACATTGAGTACTTTGATTTTCCCAAACTATCTCTTTAATATAGAAACATACCTTGACTCCTGTTTTAAAATTATTCATTAATTAAATGAAAATGAATTCATCTTAAATAAAAATAAATTGTTACAATTATAACTTATATAAACAACAAAGAACTAACGTTATTGATATTAAAGATTCATAAAAATTCATATAAAATAAAGTAATTAATTTTTGAAGAAAATCAAATTTAATTTTATATTTTAACAATTAAATTTTTTAGTTTATATTTTTCTCATTTTGTTATAAATTTAAGAATAATAAGAAAATTATAATATTAATATATAATTTTTGATTATTTTATAAAATATTTCAATAATTCAAATGAGTTAGACTTCTAGGTTGCTCATTTTGATAAAAAACACATAATCTGAGTTTTCATCATTTGGTAATTTAATTGCATATTGAATATTCTTCATTAAATCTAAACACACAAGAGTTTTCTCTTCTTTTCTAAAAGCAAATAAATAAGAACAATTCAAAAGCAATTAAATTGGAGTTTTTATTTAAGTTGATAAACATTCTAATAATATTAATATAGATATTACCTCCTTTTTCATTGATTCCATAAATTTTTGGAAATACTTACTTTTATTTAATTTATGATAAATTAACCATTCCTGCTTCTATCTCATAATTTTCAACTGAAGATCTTATATAAATATGAAATTAATTCTATTCTGTTAATTTAAAAACACCCTCCACAATAGCAAAACATTCTTTTATACTAAATATTGTGCTAAATTTATTAGAATATTTCATATGTTTTTCAGATTTATCAATATCAAATCTTTTAGATGTATTTTATTATATTTCTTTGATTTGATCAGTATCTAAATAATTTCTTTTATCATTAGATCTTGCCAATTTGATCACTTTTTATTCTTCAGTTTATCTATCCTTATACCCTTTTAAAGGTGGAGGTTTTTGTGGTGACAAACTTACTTCTTGAGCAATTTCATTAGTTTTTTGAATTAATTAATCAGAAGGTAATTAGATTTTACTATTACTATTTTGAGTATTCTATTATACAATATTATTATTTTATGATTATAATTATTACTAATTATCTTTATATCCTCTTAAAGGTAATTTTTGATTCTAAGGGATAGTATCAATAATTTACTTTGTTGAATTACCATTAATAATATTTTCTGATGATTGGATTTATTATTAGTATTAGATTTCTTATGATAGAATTGGACTTTAAGATTGTTCTTAAATATTTTATTTAAGATGGGATTATTGTTCAAAATTCTAATTTTTACGAGCTTAATTTTATTTAGTTAATACTATATATTTTTGTTATTTTTCATTTTATTTATTATTGTTGTTATTCATATTTTAACCATTTCCATTTTCTTAAAGATTGATATGATTCTTTTATGATTAATCTCTTTATTCTGTTATAATAAGGGGATCCTTTTGATTTTGAAAATCGCTTTTTAATTAAATTTCTTTAAGCATATTGTTATTATCAATTGTATTAATAATTAATTTATCTTTTTATATTATTGGAATAGATTATGATTAGATACTTTGAAGATTTATAATTTTATTATCATTTTATTGATATTATTATAATTTAAATTCTCTTTATCTTTTATTTTCTTTTATTTAATTAAATAAAGATTATTGGAGTAATTTAAATTCTTAATCAGTTTTAGTGAAATGCAACTTAATTTATTTTTAAAGTTCTTTATATTGATATTCTGTTTAATATAAACAATCTTTAAAAAAATGAAGTTATTCATTATCCAAATTCTAATATACATCTATTAATTTAGAAATTTTAGTATCTTAATCAATTTGATTAGGAAGTAGATAATCTTGAAATTGTTAATATGATTAGATTTATTCTTTCCAATTTTTATAAGTTTCAAAAAATGTTTGATTTATAAATGATATCAAAGCATCTTCTTAATTAATCATTATTTTGTGAATTCTAGCCAATAAATCTTAAAGTAATGTAGCCTTCTTCTTATTTAATTTAGCATTTATGGTATTAATTAAATCCTCTTTTTCTAATACCTCATGACCTTCATTTTGATGAGCCACAATTGATTCCCAATCATTTAATATTCTATCTTACTAACATTGAGCACTCACACAAATGAAATAAGCTTCTTATATCATAATTAATTAGTTTTTTGTAGGTTTTTCATTTATAAAGATCAAAACTTAAGATAATCCTGTAAATATTATGAAAATAAGTATAATATAATTTGTAAATAAAATTAAAATGATAATTAAAAGCATCACATAAGTATAGGTTAAGATGATGTTCTTGTGTATTATTTAGTATCTGTCATATTTCTAACTTATAAAGTATTAGTTTAGCTTATTAAATCTTTAAAAGAGCGATACGATCTCTTTTTAATAGTTTCATTAATATGTTATGATTAATCTTTATTTTCTTTTATAGTATCATAACCAATACGTAGGTCTTGAGAACCATTAGGAGATATATAATTGCTTATTTAACGACTATGGATAGCAGTTTTAAAATGTGATGGAGTATTAAATTCAATAGATTCTTAAGTAGAATGTCTCAAATTATTAACATAATAATTTTTATCATTATTTTTAGGAGTGTAAGTATGTTTCATATTTGATTTGAATATATTCTATTTAATATAGTCATCACCTTAATATTTAAGTTAACTATCAAACAATCTAATTTAAATCATATTTTATTTTTATTATTCTCTTTAATGTTCTTTTTGTATCATCATTTTATATTAAGATGTAAACTTATCCTCTCCAGGAGTAATAGTAACAGTTTCTGTTCTAGATTATCTGGAATCACTTTTTAGAATATCTGCATTTTTTGGATCACTTAATAAAAATAATTTATCCTTCTTAGTCATTATTTTAAATGGATGCAATTCTTATTGAGTTTCCTATTTTTACTTTCTTAAAAGACTATGTATTTTTTTTAGATTTTAATGTGCTATTGCTTTTATGTATCTAAATTCAGGTTTGACATTGTCTAAAACTTTGTCTAATTCTTATTGACATTTTGTTTCAGGACCATAAAACTCTGCAAAACAATCTTATATTTTTGATGATGCCATCTAAAAGTGATTGGCTGTTTCAACAATACCATTAACCATCTCTTATCTATTATTGACAACTTCAACGAAATCATTAATGATTCTTTTCGAATAAGTTATCTTATTCTTTTAAGAATAAGGTTTAGGTAATTAAATGTAATCCATGGGATTCTTTTTCCAATATTTTTTTAGATTCACTCTAACTGGACCATCATGCCAATTATGAATTACTTATACATTTTTATTTAAAGGTTTCATAATTTTATATCACTTTTTTTTATAATTAATAAGCTTAACTCATCACTTTAAACAGAAAAAAACAATAATTATTCTTTGTCTTATTATAATTTATATATACTTTAATCAATTCTTTTATCTTATCTCTAATTTAAAAACCCAATATTAAATCTTGTAAAGAGTTCTATATAATTATTTAAATAAACTTAAAACAAATTCAATAAGAATATTATTTAAATAACCAAATCTATAATAATTAATATTCAATAATAATTGTAATGAACAAAATTAAATATAATAGAATCTAAAATACCTTAGAGTTTAATTATATGAAATAAAAAGTATTAATTATACTCATAAAAACAATGACATTCTTCTAATATTTTAGAACCAAATTTAAACTTAAATAGAAATATAAAAATGAATAGTTCTATATATAACAAATTATTAAGACTAATTAATTTTATTATTTCTCTGATGAATTTTAACAGATAAGAATCACTCTCAAGAAAAAACACTATATTATAACGACCTAATAGATTATATTCAATCTAGGATAGACATTAAACTGAAGATCTTAAAATTTTGGTAGAATTATCATGTAGAAAAAACTCTATTCAAGATCACCCTTCAACACTTAAATAACCAAATTCATAAAGAAGTTAATTATAAAAATATAGAAATCTTTATTTATATGATAAAAGGCTCTTCAAAAATAGAAGGGAACATAAATCATCAAAAGAGAACTGTCATGATTAAAAAGAATCTAAATTCTCAATCAAATTATAAATGCCCTCATTTCATTTCAATTAAGATGAAGAAATGAAGATCTTTAAACTTAAATTAATGAAATCTGAACTTATTAGAAATAAGATTCCTGATGTTTCAAAAGATGCTAAATCAACCCATTTGCATAATAATAAAAAAATATCTAATCTAAATCTTGATCCTCTTAAATTCACAAATTTAGTCGTTTTACCTTCAGTTAGAGGATGGGATAATAACAACTAAAGTTCTTACAGATCTAATTGATAATGTTTTTTTATGCTTTTTATTTCCAATTATAAATTTTATGATACATATCTATGAGAGTATTACAATTAATAACTTATTTAAAAAAAATAATAACCTATTGATCATCTTACATTTGATAAACCAAAAGTATATTCGAAAAATCAATAATTTATTTTATAATTCTATATTTTTAATAAGTTAATAGTACTGAATTAGAAAGTATGATATATGTTGGCATATATTATAAAAGTAGAAGGTATTATTTTCAATATTTAAAATCATATAATTAATTACATATTTAATTTTCATAGTCTCTAACCATTTCTCCATTAACATACTACTGGTTCTTAATTTGCGCTTATTAATTTACCCTCTCCATGTTGTTTACCATTTAACCAATAGCCTTCATATTTTTTTCCATTACTCCATTCCATAACACCAAAACCATTTTTTTAATCGAATTCATAATTTCCTTCATATTTTCTTCCATCTGGCCATATTTAAGTTCCAGTACCATGCATCATGTCATTCTTCCATTAACCTTCGTAATATCTTCCATCTGCCCATGTATATTTACCAAATCCATTCATTTTATTATCTTCCCATTATCCATCATATAAACTCCCATCAGCCCATTTATAAATTCCTTATCCATTTTTCATACCTTTTGAGTAATGACCTTCATATTTACTACCATCTATCCATGTTTCACAACCAGTTCCATGATAAAGATCT